TTCCTCCTGCCCCCACCCTCCTATAACCACAAACTTCTGCCCCACATTCTAATACTGCATTTTTAAAACTATTCCAACCCTCTTCAGCCTCCCACTACTCATACTTGCACCAGCCCACCTTTCTGCCAATAATTGCTTATGTGTATCTGTACCTAAATAAACTTACACATTGTGTAGGTACACATTAAAATCACGAAGAGTTAAAGATAAAGATAATCTTATTAGTCTTGAGGATGCCATATTAACCCTTAGACTGTCCAAACGTAGATCTACGTTCACTTGCGTAGCGCTCCAAAAGTAGATCTACGTTTTGTTACATGATTTCAAATCAAGGTCGGAGCGCTACGCCCGTAAACGTAGATCTACGTTTGGACAGTTTAAGGGTTAATAATAATAAGAATAATAATACACAATAATAATCACTGTGGCACATTAAATGTCATATATTACATTAATATAAACATTTTCATTAATCCATCTATGATATTTTTTCAAAATTATATAATTAACACACTATGTAACATAAACCATGTTAAATTCACCCCATAGTAGAATAAATTAACATAAATATGAGAAGTTAGGTGTAGATGAACATCTATGAACCAAAACCAGGCACGTTTATCTGCTTGTTTACATTCTCCGCGTGCCTCTCCTCTCATTTACTCGTTATTTCTCTCTCGTTTATTTGTTTTACCTTGTTTACTCACCTCTCATCCTACATTAAGATTCCAAATATTTTAAAGTAATGAGTGTACTGTTAACCTGGAGTTTACCTGGAGAGAGTTCTGGGGGTCAACGCCCCCACGGCCCGGTCTGTGACCAGGCCTCCTGGTGGATCAGAGCCTGATTAACCAGGCTGTTACTGCTGGCTGCACGCAGTCTAATGTACAAGCCACAGCCCGGCTGGTCAGGTAATGACTAGGTGCTTGTCCAGTGCCAGCTTGAAGACTGCCAGGGGTCTGTTGATAATCCCCCTTATGACTCAAGAAATCATAATGACACGATTGCAAACAAACCATACCCCCGGGGGTATGGTTTAATCCCCCTTATGTATGCTGGGAGGCAGTTGAACAGTCTCGGGCCCCTGACACTTATTGTATTGTCTCTTAACGTGCTAGTGACACCCCTGCTTTTCATTGGGGGGATGTTGCATCGTCTGCCGAGTCTTTTGCTTTCGTTTTTCATGTGTAGGTGATTTTCATGTGCAAGTTCGGTACTAGTCCCTCTAGGATTTTCCAGGTGTATATAATCATGTATCTCTCCCGCCTGCGTTCCAGGGAGTACAGGTTCAGGAACTTAAAGCGCTCCCAGTAATTGAGGTGTTTTATCTCCGTTGTGCGCACCATGAAGGTTCTCTGTACATTTTCTAGGTCAGCAATTTCACCTGCCTTGAAAGGTGCTGTTAGTGTGCAGCAATATTCCAGCCTAGATAGAACAAGCGACCTGAAGAGTGTCATCATGGGCTTGGCATCGCTAGTTTTGAAGGTTCTCATTATCCATCCTGTCATTTTTCTAGCAGATGTGATTGATACAATGTTATGGTCCTTGAAGGTGAGATCCTCCGACATGATCACTCCCAGGTCTTTGACGTGGGTTTTTCGCTCTATTTTGTGGAAGGAATTTGTTTTGTACTCTGATGAAGTTTTAATTTTCTCATGTTTACCATATCTGAGTAATTGAAATTTCTCATCGTTGAACTTCATATTGTTTTCTGCAGCCCACTGAAAGATTTGGTTGATGTCCGCCTGGAGCCTTGCAGTGTCTGCAATGGAAGACACTGTTATGCAGGTTTGGGTGTCATCTGCAAAGGAAGACACGGTGCTGTGGCTGACATCCTTGTCTATGTCAGATATGAGGATGAGAAACAAGATGGGAGCGAGTACTGTGCCTTATGGAACAGAGCTTTTCACCGTAGCCGCCTCAGACTTTATTCTGTTGACTACTACTCTTTTTGTTCTGTTTGTGAGGAAATTATAGATCCCTCTACCAACTTTTCCTGTTATTCCTTTAGCACACATTTTGTGCGCTATTATGCCTGGTCACACTTGTTGAATTAGACACATGTGCAACTCTTGGGTATCTTTATTGAGGAAACGTTTCGCCACACAGTGGCTTCATCAGTCCATACAAAGGAGAAACTTGAAGCCACTGTGTGGCGAAACGTTTCCTCAATAAAGATACCCAAGAGTTGCACATGTGTCTAATTCAACAACATGTTGGTTCTCTGAACCATTCATCTACAATGGTCACACTTGTTGAAGGCTTTTGCAAAGTCTGTATATATTACATCTGCATTCTTTTTGTCTTCTAGTTCATCTAGGACCTTGTCGTAGTGATCCAGCAGCTGAGACAGACAGGAGCGACCTGCTCTAAACCCATGTTGCCCTGGGTTGTGTAATTGATGAGTATCTAGTTGGGTAGTGATCTTGCTTCTTAGGACCCTTTCAAAGATTTTTATGATATGGGATGCTAGTGCTATCGGTCTGTAGTTCTTTGCTATTGCTTTACTGCCCCTTTTGTGGAGTGGGGCTATGTCTGTTGTTTTTAGTAACTGTGGGACGACCCCCGTGTCCATGCTCCTTCTCCATAGGATGGTAAAAGCTTGTGATAGGGGTTTCTTGCAGTTCTTGATGAACATGGAGTTCCATGAGTCTGGCCCTGGGGCAGAGTGCATGGGCATGTCATTTATCGCCTGTTCGAAGTCATTTGGCGTCAGGATAATATCAGATAGGCTTGTGTTAACCAAATTTTGTCTCTCTCTCTTAAAAAATTAATTTTGATCTTCGACTCTCAGTCTGGTTAGCGGCTTGCTAAAAACTGAGTCATATTGGGACTTGAGTAGCTCACTCATTTCCTTGCTGTCATCTGTGTAGGACCTATCTTGTTTAAGTAGGGGCCCAATACTGGATGTTGTTCTCGACTTTGATTTGGCATAAGAAAAGAAATACTTTGGGTTTCTTTCGGTTGCATTTATGGCTTTTAGTTCTTCCCGTATATGCATTTTATCACTGTTGCACTCTAAATGTCGTAGTATATTACTCATGGGTTGGGTGGCTTTGCCTGGCCTGGCTGGCTGCCATACCTCCCACACCTGACTTCTCACAATAAATACTACTCACCTCTCACCCTACATTAAGACTCCAAATATTTTAAGGTAAGTAATGAGTGTACTGTGTGTGTATTTTACTTTTTATTGTTTTTAATGCCTAGTTCTATTGCTCACTTAATAGTATATGTTAATGTAAACTTGTTATCTGGCATTTATATGTATTCACAAGTGGAAAAAAAATGGCGTTCTGCTTTCCAGTTATGTCCACTTTCTAGCGATAGCCTGGAACCTAACCTGCCGTATAAGTGGGGTCCTACTATGCAGTTGTACCCCAAGTTTCAGCCATAATTCGTTCCAGAAGGCTGTTCGAGTGTTGTTACCAAATGAATTTGTTCTCATAAGCATAAGGAATAATGTAAATTAGATTAGTCTGTTTCAGACCCCTAAAAATACACTTACAAAAGCACTTACAATAATGCACTTACATAATTGTTCGAGTTGGGAGCTGTACGAAACTCGGGGTACCACTGTATATTTTTTTTCGTTTAGTAATTTATACAGGAGAAAGGGTTACTTGCCCCTTGCTCCTGGCATTTTAGTCGCCTCTTACAACACTCGTGGCTTATGGAGAAAGGATCCTTTCTCCACTTCCCCATGAATATCAAGTGCATGATGCAGTATATATTAACATGTGCATACATTGCATATGTATTACCATATTTGGTGCTCTATGTAATTGATTTACACAATGAAAAAGCTGCATAAGATATCAGGGAAGCAGCTCCACTGGATAAGTGATTACAATAATAAATAACAATAATCTCCTACTTAGAAACAGATGGGAAACCCATTACCTCACAGATTCTCATGTTATAATTGATACATGTTTGATTTTTCCAGTATATTTTTATGAAGTAATGTTCCATGTACCAGTGGCCTGTGAACATGAAAAATGCATTCCAAACCCCCATACATAAAATAACAGAACATTTATTTACTTATGTAAAGAATGACATGGTTGATGGCTTCAGAGGTGTCGTGGAGTGTTTCTGGTAGTGTATGGATGGAAGGAGGGAGGAGTTTGTCTGAATGGAAAGTTACACTTATACTCATCTAAGTGATTCTGTACTAAATTACTCATGTTGCTATTGCCTTATTAATCTTAAGTTAGTCTTAAGTTTGCTTGCAATGCTCTGCATATGTAGGGGATTTCGGCATATACACCCATATGTCATTCTCCTTTGTACAAGCATTGTATCATGCTGAAATAAATATTATTACTATTAGCTAGGTTAGAAAGGCTAAAAGTGAGGCACATAACTTAGACATTTTTATTGTGAATGTGTGTTTTTATATGATGTACGTGTTGTGGGCTTATTTTTTTGGTAGAAATCATTGAAGAAAAATGGATTTTTGTTTTTTGAAAGCTAATAATGAGGATTAATTTTTCTTTTCAACACACTGGCTCTCTCCCACTAACACAGGGTGACCCAAAAAAAACAACAAAACTATAAGGATTTCTTTTTACATTTAGTAATTAGATTATATTTGTTTGTAGTTGTTTATAATTGCATATTTATTTGGAATTTAATGCATGTGTTGTGGGTTCATATTTTGATAAAAATCTATTAAGTTTTTATAGATTATTGGTAGTAGAAAATGAGCCACTACAACCAGTTTTGGGGGCATACTCTCATTCTGAGCCTAACGGAAAAATAAATGCTACACTATACACGTTGCACTTTTTCTCTGTCCCCTCATGATAGTCTGTATAGCCCAATGAAAATAAATCACCTTGACTTTTTTGGGTTATCCTAGGCAATTTACACTATGTATGAGAATTGTCCTTATGTGTACCTGTGCCTAAATAACCTTATACTGTTAATGCTTACTTAGTCCTCTTTAGTATGAATTACTGCCATATTCTTTAAGCTTATTTATTTTCTTATAGATTGCTTTTGTAGGAGATCATAATGGATTGATGCCACCTGGAACTGGTACTGGATTAGACATCACTTCTGAGGAGTGCAAGTATATTCTGGAGGTGCTTGCTGATCTTCGAAAGGAGTGGACTAACACGGAGTACCTGAAGATCGGAGGAAAAGACAAGGCGATGTATACGCTGCCCACCAAGTCATTAGTACTTGAGGGAGTGTATTTTCATGATCCCGATTTCCTCCCGCTGTTGGTCAGAGAAATGCAAGATCTCCGTCATATTGAAATTCAGGTATGATGGAGCTAGGTGTATTGGATATCTTGTGGACATAATGCTCTGTTATGTCCATTTTGTTGGGTGGCTGATAATGCTGCCAAGTGTGGTGGAGAGAGACCATGGAATGGGTGGAGTTTGAATCCATGGCAAGAAACTCCTGAAACTCGCAGGCTGGTGTGTTAACCACTCGGGCAGCTGGATTTAATAAGATTTATCAAACCTTTATTTTTTTTTATTAACACATCGGTCATTTCTCACCAAGGCAGGGTGACCCAAAAAAGAAGAAACATCCCAGCTTTATAAAAAATTTCTGTAGTAATTTATATAGAAGGGGTTACTATCCTATTGCTCTTGGCATTTTAGTTGCCTCTTATGACACACATGGCATACAGAGGAAAGATTCTCTTCCACTTCCTCATGGAGCAAACCTTTATTTATAGATTTTTTTTCTGAGTGGAGCTCTGGATAGGGCTTTATCAAATCATGATTTGATAAAGCTCTATCCAGAGTAAATGTCTATAACAAAGGTTTGCTCTGCACCAATTATCTTTCTATTATTAACACACTGGCCGATTCCCACCAAGGCAGGGTGGCCCGAAAAAGAAAAACTTTCACCATCATTCATTCCATCACTGTCTTGCCTGAAGGGTGCTTTACACTACAGTTTTTAAACTGCAACATTAACACCCCTCTTTCAGAGTGCAGGCACTCAACTTCCCATCTCCAGGACTCAAGTCCAGCCTGCCGGTTTCCCTGAACCCCTTCATAAATGTTACTTTGCTCATACTCCAACAGCACGTCAAGTATTAAAAACCATTTGTCTCCATTCACTCCTATCAAACACGCTCACGCATGCCTGCTGGAAGTCCAAGCCCCTCGCACACAAAACCTCCTTTACCCCCTCCCTCCAACCTTTCCTAGGCCGACCCCTACCCCGCCTTCCTTCCACTACAGACTGATACACTCTTGAAGTCATTCTGTTTCGCTCCATTCTCTCTACATATCCGAACCACCTCAACAACCCTTCCTCAGCCCTCTGGACAATAGTTTTGGCAATCCCGCACCTCCTCCTAACTTCCAAACTACGAATTCTCTGCATTATATTCACACCACACATTGCCTTCAGATGTGACATTTCCACTGCCTCCAGCCTTCTTCTCGTTGCAACATTCATCACTCATGCTTCACACCCATACAGGAGCGTTGATAAAACTATACTCTCATACATTCCCCTCTTTGCTTCCAAGGACAAAGTTCTTTGTCTCCACAGGCTCCTAAGTGCACTGCTCACCCTTTTCCCCTCATCAATTCTATGATTCACCTCATCTTTCATAGACCCATCCGCTGACATGTCCACTCCCAAATATCTGAATACATTCACCTCCTCCATACTTTCTCCCTTCAATCTGATATCCAATCTTTCATCACCTAATCCTTTTGTTATCCTCATAACCTTACTCTTTCCTGTATTCACTTTCAATTTTCTTCTTTTACATACCCTACCAAATTCATCCACCAACCTCTGCAACTTCTCTTCAGAATCACCCAAGAGCACAGTGTCATCAGCAAAGAGCAACTGTGACAACTCCCACTTTATGTGTGATTCTTTATCTTTTAACTCCACACCTCTTGCCAAGACCCTTGCATTTACTTCTCTTACAACCCCATCTATAAATATATTGAACAACCATGGTGACATCACACATCCTTGTCTTAGGCCTACTTTTACTGGGAAATAATCTCCCTCTTTCCTACATAATCTAACTTGAGCTTCACTATCCTCGTAAAAACTCTTCACTGCTTTCAGTAACCTACCTCCTACACTATACACCTGCAACATCTGCCACATTGCCTCCCTATCCACCCTGTCATATGCCTTTTCCAAATCCATAAATGCCACAAAAACCTCTTTAGCCTTATCTAAATACTGTTCACTTATATGTTTCACTGTAAACACCTGGTCCACACACCCCCTACCTTTCCTAAAGCCTCCTTGTTCATCTGCTATCCTATTCTCTGTCTTACTCTTAATTCTTTCAATAATAACTCTACCATGCACTTTACCAGGTATACTCAACAGACTTATCCCCCTACAATTTTTGCACTCTCTTTTTGTCCCATTTGCCTTTATACAAAGGAACTATGCATGCTCTCTGCCAATCCCTAGGTACCTTACCCTCTTCCATACATTTATTAAATAATAGCACCAACCACTCCAAAACTATATCCCCACCTGCTTTTAACATTTCTGTCTTTATCCCATAAGTCCCAGCTGCCTTACCTATTTCATTTTACCTACTGCCTCACGAACTGCCCCCACACTCACAACTGGCTCTTCCTCACTCCTACAAGATGTTATTCCTCCTTGCCCTATACACGAAATCACAGCTTCCCTATCTTCATCAACATTCAACAATTCCTCAAAATATTCCCTCCATCTTCCCAATACCTCTAACTCTCCATTTAATAACTCTCCTCTCCTATTTTTAACTGACAAATCCATTTGTTCTCTAGGCTTCCTTAACTTGTTAATCTCACTCCAAAACTTTTTCTTATTTTCAACCAAATTTGTTGATAACATCTCACCCACTCTCTCATTTGCTCTCTTTTTACATTGCTTCACCACTCTCTTAACCTCTCTCTTTTTCTCCATATACTCTTCCCTCCTTGCATCACTTCTACTTTGTAAAAACTTCTCATATGCTAACTTTTTCTCCCTTACTACTCTCTTTACATCATCATTCCACCAATCGCTCCTCTTCCCTCCCGCACCCACTTTCCTGTAACCACAAACTTCTGCTGAGCACTCTAACACTACATTTTTAAACCTACCCCATACCTCTTCGACCCCATTGCTTATGCTCTCATTAGCCCATCTATCCTCCAATAGTTGTTTATATCTTACCCTAACTGCCTCCTCTTTTAGTTTATAAACCTTCACCTCTCTCTTACCTGATGCTTCTATTCTCCTTGTATCCCGTCTACCTTTTACTCTCAGTGTAGCTACAACTAAAAAGTGATCTGATATATCTGTGGCCCCTCTATAAACATGTACATCCTGAAGTCTACTCAACAGTCTTTTATATCCCAATACATAATCCAACAAACTACTGTCATTTTGCCCTACATCATATCTTGTATACTTATCCTCTTTTTCTTAAAATATGTATTACCTATAACTAAACCCCTTTCTATACAAAGTTCAATCAAAGGGCTCCCATTTTCATTTACACCTGGCACCCCAAACTTACCTACCACACCCGCTTTAAAAGTTTCTCCTACTTCAGCATTCAGGTCCCCTACCACAATTACTCTCACACTTGGTTCAGAGGTTCCTATACATTCACTTAACATCTCCCAAAATGTCTCTCTCTCCTCTACATTCCTCTCTTCTCCAGGTGCATACACGCTTATTATGACCCACTTTTTGCATCCAACCTTTACTTTAATCCACATAATCCTTGAATTTACACATTCATATTCTCTTTTCTCCTTCCATAACTGATCCTTCAACATTATTGCTACCCCTTCCTTAGCTCTAACTCTCTCAGATACTCCAGATTTAATCCCATTTATTTCTCCCCACCAAAACTCCCCTACCCCCTTCAGCTTTGTTTCGCTTAGGGCCAGGACATCCAACTTCTTTTCATTCATTTTTTTTATTTTTTTTTTTATTAACACACTGGCCGATTCCCACCAAGGCAGGGTGGCCCGAAAAAGAAAAACTTTCACCATCATTCACTCCATCACTGTCTTGCCTGAAGGGTGCTATACACTACAATTTTTAAACTGCAACATTAACACCTTTCCTTCAGAGTGCAGGCACTGTACTTCCCATCTCCAGGACTCAAGTCCGGCCTGCCGGTTTCCCTGAATCCCTTCATAAATGTTACTTTGCTCACAATCCAACAGCACATCAAGTATTAAAAACCATTTGTCTCCATTCACTCCTATTAAACACGCTCACGCATGCCTGCTGGAAGTCCAAGCCCCTCGCACACAAAACCTCCTTTTCTCCCTCCCTCCAACCTTTCCTAGGCCAACCCCTACCCCGCCTTCCTTCCACTACAGACTGATACACTCCTGAAGTCATTCTGTTTCGCTCCATTCTCTCTACATGTCCGAACCAACTCAGCAACCCTTCCTCAGCCCTCTGGACTACAGTTTTAGTAATCCCGCACCTCTTCCTAACTTCCAAACTACGAATTCTCTGCATTATATTCACACCACACATTGCCCTCAGACATGACATCTCCACTGCCTCCAGCCTTCTTGCTGCAACATTCATCACCCATGCTTCACACCCATATAAGAGCGTTGGTAAAACTATACTCTCATACATTCCCCTCTTTGCCTCCAAGGACAAAGTTCTTTGTCTCCAAAGACTCCTAAGAGCACTGCTCACCCTTTTCCCCTCATCAATTCTATGATTCACCTCATCTTTCATAGACCCATCCGCTGACACGTCCACTCCCAAATATCTGAATACATTCACCTCCTCCATACTCTCACCCTTCAATCTGATATCCAATCTTTCATCACCTAATCTTTTTGTTATCCTCATAACCTTACTCTTTCCTGTATTCACTTTTAATTTTCTTCTTTTGCATACTCTACCAAATTCATCCACCAACCTCTGCAACTTCTCTTCAGAATTTCCCAAGAGCACAGTGTCATCAGCAAAGAGCAACTGTGACAACTCCCACTTTATGTGTGATTCTTTATCTTTTAACTCCACACCTCTTGCCAAGACCCTCGCATTTACTTCTCTTACAACCCCATCTATAAATATGTTAAACAACCACGGTGACATCACACATCCTTGTCTAAGGCCTACTTTTACTGGGAAATAATCTCCCTCTTTCCTACATATTCTAACTTGAGCCTCACTATCCTCGTAAAAACTCTTCACTGCTTTCAGTAACCTACCTCCTACACCATACACCTGCAACATCTGCCACATTGCCCCCCTATCCACCCTGTCATACGCCTTTTCCAAATCCATAAATGCCACAAAAACCTCTTTAGCCTTATCTAAATACTGTTCACTTATATGTTTCACTGTAAACACCTGGTCCACACACCCCCTACATTTCCTAAAGCCTCCTTGTTCATCTGCTATCCTATTCTCCGTCTTACTCTTAATTCTTTCAATAATAACTCTACCATACAATTTACCAGGTATACTCAACAGACTTATCCCCCTATAATTTTTGCACTCTCTTTTGTCCCCTTTGCCTTTATACAAAGGAACTACGCATGCTCTCTGCCAATCCCTAGGTACCTTACCCTCTTCCATAGATTTATTAAATAATTGCACCAACCTCTCCAAAACTATATCTCCACCTGCTTTTAACATTTCTATCTTTATTCCATCAATCCCAGCTGCCTTACCTATTTCATTTTACCTACTGCCTCACGAACTGCCCCCACACTCACAACTGGCTCTTCCTCACTCCTACAAGATGTTATTCCTCCTTGCCCTATACACGAAATCACAGCTTCCCTATCTTCATCAACATTTAACAATTCCTCAGAATATTCCCTCCATCTTCCCAATACCTCTAACTCTCCATTTAATAACTCTCCTCTCCTATTTTTAACTGACAAATCCATTTGTTCTCTAGGCTTCCTTAACTTGTTAATCTCACTCCAAAACTTTTTCTTATTTTCAACAAAATTTGTTGATAACATCTCACCCACTCTCTCATTTGCTCTCTTTTTACATTATTCACCACTCACTTAACCTCTCTATTTTTCTCTATATACTCTTCCCTCCTTGCATCACTTCTACTTTGTAAAAACTTCTCATATGCTAACTTTTTCTCCCTTACTACTCTCTTTACATCATCATTCCACCAATTGCTCCTTTTCCTTCCCGCACCCACTTTCCTGTAACCACAAACTTCTGCTGAACACTCTAACACTACATTTTTAAACCTACCCCATACCTCTTCGACCCCATTGCCTATGCTCTCATTAGCCCATTCATAACATCAGCAATCATCTGTTTCTTGTCATCCGCACTACATCCACACACATTCAAGCATCCCAGTTTTATAAAGTTTTTCTTCTTCTCTTTTTTAGTAAATGTTTACAGGAGAAGGGGTTACTAGCCGATTGCTCCCGGCATTTTAGTCGCCTCATACAACACGCATGGCTTACGGAGGAAAGATTCTTTTCCACTTCCCCATGGACAATAGAAGAAATAAAGAAGAACAAAAGCTATTTAGAAAAAGGAGAAAAAAACCTAGATGTATGTATATATATATATGCATGTGCGTGTCTGTGAAGTGTGACCAAACTGTAAGTAGGAGTAGCAAGATATTCCTGTTATCTAGCGTGTTTATGAGACAGAAAAAGACACCAGCAATCCTACCATCATGTAAAACAGTTACAGGTTTCTGCTTCACAGTCATCTGGCAGGACGGTAGTACTTCCCTACTGCTATGTTTAAATGACATTGAAAATATAATTTTTTCAGGTTCCACTTTGTGAGTCAGTTGTGAGTTGTAAGGGGACTACACAAAATTTTAAAAGTGTGGAATTTAGTAAATTTTTTTTTCTTTATTAATGTTTCCCTCAGAGGCAGGGTGAATTTTATTTTATTCAGGGATCTTTTTACATTGGTCAATAGAGACTGACTCTCCCACCGTAAAAATCTCTTGCTTGGTCTCGGCCACCTTAACCCTTTGAGGGTTTTGGTCGTACTAGTACGTCTTACGTGTAGGGGTTTTTGACGTACTAGTACTCATAAATTCTAGCGGCCTCAAATCTAGTGGGAGAAAGCTGGTAGGCCTTCATATGAAAGAATGGGTCTATGTGGTCAGTGTGCACAGTCTAAAAAAAATCCTGCAGCACACAGTGCATAATGAGAAAAAAAAAACTTTGACCATTTTTTTTTAATAAATCAACGACTTTGCAGTGTATTTTCGTATGGTATTTATTGTTGTATTCTAGTTTTCTTGGTCTCATTTTATAGAATGGAAGACATATTACAGAAATTGAGATGATTTTGACTGGTTTTACAATGAAAGGTGCCTTGAAATTGAGCTCAAAGTAGCAGAAATGTTCGATTTTTACCAAACTTCAAAAGTAAACAAATCATGCCAAGCGTGCAATACACGTCAACTGGTGAGTCTAATATTCTTTCACAAGTGCACCAATAATATTTATACCATTTTTTACACTAATGCAGTAGTCTGCATAACAGTAAATCTTATATTTTTTGTGAAAATAAAAATTCAAAGTGGAAAGCAAAAGAATATAAGAGGGGCCTTGAGACGTGACTAATGACTAGAGGAAATGTCATTTTAGTGCCAGGAATGTCTTTCTTGTTTATTCTGGACCCTATTCGGAAATTGGCATCTTTTGAAATTTGTGTGAAATTGGCAAAATTGCTAAATTCTGACCACTGTACTGGATAGTTGAATTTCATAAATGGGTGGTTTCTTGCACCCATTCGATAGAAAAAATGGAGTTCTAGCGAAATATTCATGTTTTTTGTCGACTAGTACAGTGAAATTGGCCGAAAATGGGGCTCAAAGTGGGCAAAAACACCGATGCGTAAACATCGCCGAGACCACTAACTTTGCGAGAGCATAATTCCGTAAGTTTTCTATCAAATTTCAAACTTTTGGTGTCTTTATGATCGGGAAAAGATTCTCTATCTTTTCATAAGAGAAAATAATTTTTTTTTTTTAAATTTGGCCGACCCTGAGAACGAGTTTCGGAGAGGGCCTGTCGACCCTCAAAGGGTTAAATGATCAATATTTTGGCGTTCAGACCTTTTAATGTCTTGTCCCAGCTTCGCCTTATTTATTGGAATGTTTTAAAATTTTGTTTTCCAGTTTTTCAATGAACTGGCCAAATCCCATCGTGTTTTCCAGTTGTATTTGGCAAATAATTAAGTACCACTGTCCATCCTAGGAATTCCCGTCATATACTCATGTTATAAGAATGAGCTCGTACATGATCATGTACAGCCACTCGACTTGCTTTAGCCTCATCCTTGCATATAATTTACCTGTTTGAGTTTGCATGGGTTGGTGAGCACCAGCTCTTGGTTCTCCCTATTTAATTTCAGAATAGATTTTAGAAAATATTTTGATAACCACAGTGTATCTGTAGTTATCTCATTGTTTAACTGTAAAGAGGTAGTATTATTTTTGTATTCTGATATCAAGTGTTGTTTAACCCTTCTGAATTTAACTGTTCCCCATGGTTATAATTATTTATTGTTATAATTACTTTTCTGAATATTTAACTTATAAAAATCTTTACAGTATAATGGAACGCCATGTATGCTGAGGGCCCTGAGCACACATTGCCGTCATTTGGAATCTCTCTGCTTCCTTGAACCACAAATGGAAGTTTCTGTATTGGAGAAGGACATTCTTAATATCCTCTTTGGTGTTCCATCAATTTATGGTAACAGGACTCCATTTGGGATACTTGACAGATTTGCCGAAGAAAAAGAATTTAGAGAAAAATTTGTAGTACAGTTTCCAAACTTAAGAAAATTGGATATTGACGAGTTGTATTTTGAGGAGGAACTGTTACATGATGTATATACTCTTGCCTTGATTCTCCAGCCCAAAATCTCATCCTTTGGAAAGCATACTGGATTGACAAGACATATTATTGCAAAATACAGGCGACTCTGGACTATAGTGAATGAAAGTTCGTTTTCTAATGTTAGTGTGTATTTAACTAAAGCTAAATTTGTTGATAGCATATCTGATGTACCAGGTGATACTGAGCTTGACCTGAAGTACATTGAAGAGGTGTTACCGATGTTCAAGACTTTAAAGTCTGTAGAATTGCTGAAGAGCAATTGGAATGAGAATCATGTAGCCAAATTTTGTCAGTTATTAGGAAATCATGTAGATGCCATTTCATTAATTGACTGGCCAGTAAATGAAGTATCTTGCCTGAGTAACATCAGTCACTTGCGGTTAACATTTATGCGGCAATATTCGTTTGATCAGGTGCACCAGGTCTTGGATAATTGTCCAAACCTGCAGACACTGAGCATGCATGCTATGTTTCAAGAACATTCTCGAGTCAATCATGACAGAGGAGATGAACTGCAGCAGTTTGGCCAAATGATGGATGAGGATCAACGTTTCTTTGAGAACCTTATTGTTGAAGAATTAATACAATATCCAGAGCTTCAGATTATTGTTATAGGAGCTAATCAACATCCACCCAGAGATATGCTGGGTAATCCTGTTAATGTTCAAGGAGGTATACAGGGAGCCAGACCTCCCTCCAGGTATGACAGGATATCCAAACCCAAGTTCAAGATTCACCACAAACTAACAACCTTACGTATTGCATCTCTGTTTGAAGCACCCAGAGAACCCTCAGAAGTAAGTCACATTCAACAAAAATCTGCAGTTAAACAGGGTGTGGCACATACTTTTATGCAGTATTGCTGATCACACAGACTTAGCATTTCATGAAATAAATACTACAATGAAATTTCAGTAATTTATTTTATGATAATATTTTATTAACTTACACTTCAAGAATTTTGAGAATTACAATTTAATTGTGATCATACAGGAAAGTACTTAGTACACACATCATTTCTGTAGGAAATGTGTTCTCATTCAGCCATCAGAGTCATGGTTGCTAATTGTTTTACTCTTTTGCAGGCCTTCCTCCTGAGTCTTCTGGAGAGGGTTCCAAACCTTCGGAATTTATGTATGGGGATGTGGATGGGCTCCCTGAGTCACAGGAGAGAAAACTTAACGTGTACTGGCAATGCTTTAGTCAGCGTTGCCACAGACCAGACGCGGATTGACCCTGTTTTGACTCAGTTGGAACAGGTAGTACAACTTGTACCTCTGCACGCTTTCATAATGTGTACAGCCTCTCCTGACTTAATGATGGAGTTCCGTTCCTAAGACCACGTCGGTAAACGAATTTATCGCTAAGTGAGGAGCATACTATAATGGTAGTAGGTTTGTGTCAACCATCTTTGATATTGTTTAATGTCACCTTTGCACCATTTATAACATTTCTGGTATATTTTTAAATGTTTATACAGTAGTGTACTGTACAGCCTCTTCTCACTTAGCGACGTATTCGTTTACCGATGACTCAGACTTATGATGGGCTCTCTGACCAGCATGCATATCTAAATAATGCATATTACGAGCTGATTTCCTCTATTCTGTTTATTACAATATACGGTACACTACTGTATAAACATTTAAAAATATACTAAGAATGTTATAAATGGTGCAACGGTAACATACAACAATATCAAAGATGGTTGACACATTACCATTATAGTTTAGCGATGAATTCGTTTACCGACACAGTATTAGGAACAGAACTCCATTGTTAAGTGAGGAGAGGCTGTATGTTGTAATAAACAGAATAGAGAAAATCAGCTCTAATATACATTGTTTAGGTATGCATACTGGTCAGAGGGCCAGTTGTAAGTACGAGTTGTTGGTAAATGAGTACGTTACTAAGTGATGAGAGGCTGTACTTAGTGCAGTTTGCTTTACTAAGGCATAGAAATTCGTGTTCTGTGATAGTCGTAACAAACTGGCGTATCACAATGATAACGAGGTAGTGCTTGGCTCATAGGGGCATGCAGCAACAGCTTGAGAATTTGATCCAAGGAAGAGGAGGGTTGATCCAGTTCCTTGGATCAAAAATCTTTCAGCATCAAAGCATCCCCGTGTAGAGATTAGCTTAAATTTTATCACATTAACATGTTTTAGTTTTTGTTGGCATTTCTGACAGTTATTATATTTTTATGTCTGAGAATTTATTCTTTCAGTATCGGTCGGTATCCAGACCAGAGCTTTGGTGAGATGGGTAAGGAAGAAGGATGGGTAAGGATAGAAATTTTGGAAAAGGGTGGGAGGGGGGAGAGAGGTAGGATATAAAAGGTAAGTGGCCCAACCACTTTGGTGTAATTTAAAAAGTGTACGTGAAATGATAAGATATTCTTTAAGAGGTATAAGACGAACCCATCAGAGTCACATAGATATAACAGAATATAAGTACATGACTCTGAATTGGTAGTAATTATACAAGTTGCAATTGCTTTTTTTTTTTTTTTTTTTTTTTTTTTTTTTTTTTTTTGCGATTGCACAACGGATATTTATGCGACAATAAAGGCAATAATTTTCTGGCCAGTTTATGGAATGACGCAACAATGGCTTCTTACAGGTGGTGTCCAGCCATGGTAAGTAGCATAATTTTTACATTAGATTGTTTTATGTTTCCCTAATTGGGGGCGATGATTTTCTTAGTATACATAGAAGGGTTCTGGTGCTACCCAATCTTCTTCATCAGGGAGGTTGCTCAATATCATGGGTCGATGGTAATCATCTTTATGTATAAAACGACGGACCCTCTGTGGGAGAGTCATTCTTTGAGTCCTGTGAGGAGGAGTATTGATTATATAATCCGTGGTATTTACCACTTGTATAGGATGTTCTCTATCTGGCATGTATAGTTCTTGCATTGAATAGAGTTGTTTCTTTTTTAGAGTGTCGAGGCGTACATTTATGGCAGTAATATCTTGTTGTATGTGTAAATCTGCCATTTTAACTCTGTCTCTCCTCCTGGTATCGGTAATGAAGCGAAGAGCTCTATTCTGGACCCTTTGTAGCCGTAGCATGTTGGTCTTTGTTGTTAATGACATTGGGACACAAGGGTATTCGAGTATTGGTCTTATTATCATTTTATACAGATGTGTTTTGACATGTTGAGGGGCTTGATTGAATCGAAAGAGACTGCTAAGACCGGCTTTGGCTATGTTGATCTTTTTAGTTACATGAGATGTTGAGTGGAGCAGCCTGTCTATTTCATATCCCAAAATCTTGTTAGGGTTTCTAACTGTGGAAACGCAGAAGAAATCCACTGGGTCAGTTGATTCGGAAATAACAGTCAGTTAGTTACAAATTCAGTGTTATGATCATGGCCAAACATACACATCCTTGTCTGCCACAGTTGCTAGCCACATGCTTGCCCCTATTAGTCCATTAACTTGATGGTTTACTGCATTATATTTATGAGGAAGTGCTGAACCCACAGGGGTTATACAGTGCCTGGGAAATTGGAGGTAATCAGGTTTGATCCAGGGAAGAATATAAGCACTGAATTTTTTTTTTTTTCCAGTTGTGCTGCCTCCCATCTGGCACAGAACAAGAAATGTGCCTCTCACTGGCACGTCTTGCAAAGGCTCTACCTTCGCTGCGTACAATAGTTGTTCCAGCACTGGATAAATTCCTGCTGTCTCCAACACTGCGCTACTTCCAGCACTCTAACATAGAAGTTCAGCACAAGTGTGCTACTGATCAGGTTTTTTCTCACTGGGAACCTGAGCACTAACTGCAATGTACATCTGCAATTAAGCCTGTTTGCATTCTGTAATGTTATCTTGCTAACAAGTTATCTGGTAATTGGCACAAACAATCCCACATTGAGGAAAAACAGAATAAAATATGTACAAGGGACACATATAAAGACAGGGGCACCTGATCTAAATCACGTAAGGTAAGTGAGATGCAATAACAAGTGACTTCGTGACATGGTTAAGTATAGCATTAGGTTTCCTCTGGCTTTATGAAATGTTGAAATTGGGTCATGAAACAATCAGAGCATGTTGGTATCAACACTTTTAGACAAGTGTAAGGTATGGGTGTTGAATAGTACAGTGAGGAGGTGGTTAGAGGTAGTGGAGATTATTTTCCAGTAAAAGTAGTCCTTATACAGGGATGTGTGATATCACCATGGTTGTTTAACATGTAGATGGGGTTGTAAAAGAAGTGACTACTAAGGTGTTTGGGAGAGGTGTGGGATTAAAAGATGAAGACTTGTACAATGTGGGAGTTGTCACAGTTGCTTTATGTCAATGAAATGGTGCTTTTAGGATTCTGTAGAGAAGTTACAAAAGTTGGTGGAGGGTATGTAAAAGAAGGAAATTAAAAGTGAACATACGAAAGAGCAAGGTGGCGAGAGTAACAAAAAATTAGGTAATGAATTTTGGCTGTCAGACTGGAATGAGATTGCTGAGGAAGTGAATGTGTTCAGATATTTGGGAGTGGACTTGTTGGCTGATGAGTCTGTAAGAATAAGTGAACCATAGAACTGATAAAGAGGAAAAAGCTGGGTGGTGCATTGAGGCATCTATGGAGATAAAGAACGTTATCCATGGAGGCAAAAAGAGGAATCTATGAGAGTATAGTGGTACCAACACTCGTGTGGGTGTGAAGTATGAATATTGCAGCGAAGAGGTTGGAGGAAGTGGAGAAGTTGTCTGAGGTAAATGTGTGGTGTAAATATTATGCAGAAAATTCGTGGTTTGAAGATTAGGAGGGGATGCAGAGTTACTAAAAGTATTATTCAGAGGGCTGAGGAGGGGTTGTTGAGGTTTAGACATTTAGAGAGGATGGGGCAATATAGGATGACTTGAAGGCTATATAAATCTGTAGTGGAGGAAAGGTGGGGTAGGGGTCGCCCAAGTAAAGGTAGTAAAGGAGGTTGTATATGCAAGGGGCTTGGACATCCAGCAGGCGTGTGTAAGCATGTTAGATAGGAGTGGAGGCAAATGGTTTTTGGGACTTGACAAGTTGTTGGAGTGTGAGCAAGGTAACATTTTGTGAAGGGATTTAGGGAAACTGGTTAGCTGGACATGAGTTCTAGAAGTGAGAAGAACAGTGCCTTCACTATAACTGAGGGATGTGGATATTTGGAGGGACATCTGAGCTGTCATATCTCTGTGCCTCTGTCAAAGAGACTTATGGTACACAAGGTAACCCTGTCATGGAAACATTTTGCCTGTCAAGGGCTTTATGAATCCAATAGACATGAAAACGGAAATATGTGGTAGCATGGAATTCAGCTGTTGTATAGGTTAATGGCACAAAATGATGTCTTCACCTGATGATTGTGTCTTGATGTCCTAAAATCAATTTAGCTAAAACCCTGGAGATGCAGAAGCTCCCTGTGTTCTGCACAATTGTATTGTTAAAACAGATGGTCACTGATTCTAAAAAACTTTAGATCCTCTTCCTTAAGTTTGGCATTATTAAACCTCATCAAGTGGTCATGGCTGTTCCTATGAATAGCACAGACATAAATATTGTCAGTATGGTAAGGTATTGATGCAGGTGTGTTTTGTCTGTGTATTTTCTCTCATCCTCTACATAGTATGACAAATTCCAGCTCTAGTTTGAACTAGTGGGTTTTTGCTTGTCAAGTCTTTAATGATAGTGCTGGTAGTAGCAGCTACTCTAATATTGCATTTAGTGAAGGAGCTGGAAATATTAACCATTGGGAATGATAAGAGCTTGACCAAGATTTGTTAAACATGGGGTGTGGATGATCCTCAGAACAGAGCAGCTAGTCATTGATGAAATGAAAGGGAAAGTGTAGTTTAGGAAAAATCTGTTGAATGTCGCATTCCATTTCTAGGTATTTAGGACTACATACCCTGTAAGCCATCAGAAAGAATTGAAGTTCTTACTGTGGGACTACAGGGTATGTAGCTCTGAGTACTTTTGAAGGATGTAACTACATTCACCAGATCTGTAAACTGCACCTCCTCCTCTTATTTTCATCAGTGCCTCGAGACTTGGTCTGTGTATCATACATTCCAGGCTTGACAGATCTTGGGGAAGATTTATCATTTCCAACAGTAAGGTGGCTAGTTGCTGTTTCCTTCTTTAAGTGCAGTCTTAAGAGTAGCACTACTCCCAGCCACTACCGTTAGAGATTTAACGAGCAGGAAACTCGAAAGTCTAGTTGAAACCAAAGCTGGATTTTATACCATGTGGAGGATGCGAGTACGTATACCAGAGACTTGCATGCTTGTGTCAATGAGCATTAATGCATCTGCCCTACTGACAGTGTTAATGATGCCTGTATCATTCATGCCCACTTGATCACGTGAAATGATGCCAAACTTATCATTGAGGAAGATTTAAATGGTGTTTTTTAGAATCTAGTCATCTGTCTTAATACAGTTATGCAGAACACAGGGAACTTCAGCATCTCCAGTGTTTGATTTTAAGCCATCAGCACAATCATCAGGTGATGTCATTTTGTGTCACCTGCCTATGCTACAGCTGACCTTTACACTAACCTGCTTTTATGTATGTATTGGATTGATAAAGGCCCTTGGTGAGCAAACTGTTTCTATGACAGTTACTTCAGTGTTAGGCGAGTCACTTTGCCCTATATTGTTTATGAGATGGCAAATAAAAGCAGTTTATTACATATATAGTTTTATTTACACCAAAAATAAAGCTTCAACTCAAAAAGTTATACACTACTTGGGAAGAGCCACATTTGATGAAGGCTCTTAATCCCTTGGATTAAGAGCCTTCATCAGCATCAAAGCACCCATATCCCCTTGCAGATTATACTCATAGGCAAATGATAAATCTATAGACAAACACCCATTCCTTGCTAATCAAGTTTATTTAATAGTTATTTATTCTCCAAAATAATTCCACAAAGCATCTTGAATCACATACTGTCATGTTTCTGAACAAGACTAGAGTGAAAGAAGTACACACCAACACTGATGAAAGGACATTAGCGCATTCACACACACATACTTGGAACACGTTTATTGTATATGTATGGCCATCGTGGTTTAGTGTGCTGTTTTGATGATAATTATTGGATATGTTGCAGTCCTGGGACTTTGGTCACTTCAAATGTTAAAAGGGAATGAGAAAACAGTATATATAGTGGAGACAGAGTCATGGGTGATGGTCATGCAAAGTGTCACATCTAACTGAAATATGTGGCAGCTGGAAAGTAGCACTGAATAGCAGCTTTCCAAGTACCACAACACTGCAGTTAGACGTGACACTTCACATGACCATCACCCATGACTTGCAGTCTCCACTATATACTGTTTTCTCATTCTTTCAACATTTGGAGTGACCAAAATCCCAGGACTAAAACATCCAATAATTATAATCAAAACAGCATACTAAACCACGATGTCCATACATATCCAATAAATGTGTTCTAAGTGTGTGTGCACACTAATGTCCTTTCATCAGTGTTGGTATGTATTTCCTTCACTCTAGTCTTGTTCAGAAACATGAAGGTATATGACTCAAGATGCTTTGTGGAATTTAGAGAATAACTTTTAAATAAACTTGATTAGCAAGGAATGGGTGATGTTTGACTACCTATAGATTTATCACTTACCTACAAGTATAATAATCTGCAAGAAAACCTTCAAGGGGATATGGGTGCTTTGGTGCTGATGAAGGCTTTTAATTTCCAATTCCCTCCCATTTCTCAGGTGCAATATGATCCTTACAGGTTCATCACGAATATAAAACTCTGAAAAATCAATAATGTCAATCCATAAAACTGTATGCCAGAAGGCTATTACAATCAAAATATGGGTCATTCAACCTGTTCAATAAACAAGTCAAGGGTTTCAAATATGGACAGTGTTTTACAATTGTACGATGTATGACTGACACGAGTTTGGCATTTTTAACAAGATATCTCATTCTTATACACTGCTTCTGAGCCATAATTCTATATAAAAACAATTTAATTACTCTTTGTCCCTTCACTATTAAAACACTAATATTCACAGTGTTACATCTGTATCATTCAGAACTGCTGGTCATTAACAAACTGTATGCTTGTGCTTCCAAAACCATAAGGCAGTGTGGATAAGTGAATCCACTTCTGTGTCCACTTTGCTTAGAGGATGACAGTCATCATACAAATGGAGTCTGTGGGTAAAATAAAAAAAAATATTAAAACTACAAATTCTGTATGCATCAAACTGCTCTCATCATGAAAGTGTTTCTATATTACTCTACATTCAAATGATCAAATGTTAAACCTGTGGTGGTTATTCAGTGCAAGTAGTAGTGGAAGCTTGAGCCTCCAACTACTAACAGCAAGACAGTCATGGCACTTGCAATCAGCCTTGTATATCCTAAAATAATTTTTTTCATATTAGCCCACTCTTTCATTACCTTTTATTCTAAGACTGACTTCTTTCTTTTTTCTAATTTCACTTCTTTTATGAAGCACTTTCACTATAAAATTTAAAAGTGGCTGTTAAAAAGTATCTTCATAAAGCATTCTCATATACTGAATTAGTTTCTCAATGGTAGCATTGAAATTATTCTTAAAGACATAAGTTATGCTAATTTCCTTATTGATTCACAGCTCTGTGCCTACTTCAAAGTTTGTAATCATCTTAGACTCCTTTAGTGTTTTGCAAACTATTAAAAAGTTTGATTTACCTCATCCCCTAGTTCTTCATATACAACTCTGGTTAAGCCGCATTACTAGCATAAATAAATCATTTTCCGTTGGGTCCCTGGTCATGTTGATGTTCAGGGCAATGAGCAGGCAGACTCTGCTGTGCAATCTGCAGTACATGGCCTACCAGTTTCATATAGAGGTATTCCATTCTCTTGACTATTTTACTGTAATCTCTACCCACTTTTGCAACTGTTGGCAACAATGTTGGGCTAATATGACTCATAAATTACATTCTATCACACCAAGTTTGGGTTTCTGGCCGCCTTCTTGTCATCAATACTGAGGTTGGGAGACAACACTCTCGTCTTTGCATTGGACACCCTTGTCTAACTCACGGAGAGGCATCATGTTCCACTTTGTGAGAATTGTCGAGTTCCTGTTTCAGTTTCCCATATTCTATTGGACTGTCCTGCCTATCAATGAGAACACATAATTTTCCTCCAACGTCGTCACCGCTCTAATACCCTTACTTTATTTTCCCTCCTTGTTGACGGACCCACCTTTGCCACAGACTCCCTCTTTGACTTTTTGACAGCAACTGATTTATTACACAAACTTTGATAATCCTTCCTTTAGCACTCCTCACAGCCCCTCCTAACTTTACCTTTATTGTCATCTCCACCCTTATTTATCCTTAGATCCTCCATCAATTCCTACCCTGCAGCGCTGTATGACCCTGGCAGGTTTAGCGCTTTCTTTTGATTATAATAATAATACTATATCTAAAGAAAATTAACAGGAGGATGTCTACTTACTCTGTCTGAACACCACGAGCTAGCAACATCTTGTAGAAGTTGAAACTTTGAGAAGGAGGAACACGAGCATCGTTCTTTCCAACCAAAAACAGGACGGGAGTCTTCAAGGAATCAATGTGGCTGATGGGTGACATCTCAAGCATTTTGCCAAGTGTTGCTCCATCTGGCACTTTTCCATGTTTGTGTGGAAAGCCAGTCTCAACGAATGTCCTACAACAAATGTGAGAATTATATAGTAGAAATCAAATTCAATGGTTGCCATTACAAATGTCACTTACTAAAATATGGTAATAAAGGAAGTTGGGAAAACATAAGCACCATATTATATATAATAATTAAACACACATTATCACCAAAGCTAGTATTTGAAAGTTGCTTAATCTGCCTACCCTCATACTTGAGTATACTCTATTTGCATATCCCATAATACTTTAGAGCTAGGCCTAAAAAATACATATACAGTACACACATTACTTACCTCAAATATTTTCATCTTTAGCTTAGTGAATGGTGAATATATTTTAATAGGAAGTCTGAATAAATGAAGAACGGGTATAATTGAAAACCACTGCATTAGCAAAATGCTATAAAGCGGGGCCCACCTGTATATTATACTGCTGAGTACAACCCTAGTGAGGTGGGGTAGTAAATGCTCCAATCTACCACATATAAATGATGAATGTGGCAAGCATGTGTACAATGATACTGTAGTGATGATTATCCCTTTAAAGCAAATGTCAGTGACTGTATGCAGTATAAATGAACAGAAACAACACCTGCTCACCCTTGTTAGACCAGAAGTTCAGAAAAACATTACTTACAGGTCAGGGTTATCTTTACAGCTCAAAGCTGAACCAAAGTCACTGAAGACGTTTCTAATGGCTGCAACTCTGTAGAGTTTCTACAAAAAAAAAAAAAAAAAATATCTTTTAAATTGAAAATTGTGACTTACTCACCAGTCAGGAATATCTGTCACGTTAGCCATTGCAGGAATGTCTGTGACAGGGTTTCTGGCTGATACAGCCTTGTAAAGCTCCTGAGGAAGAGAAATAAGCAAAAATTTTTGCACGGAACTCAGCAATTTGGAATTTTTCTGCGGTTGCAACAAAACAAAAAATATAATTGTCTATTTGTAACTAAGTAAAACAAGATTAAGGGACACTTTAAAATTATATTAAACTAACAAAGTTTTTGATAAGCTTTCACATTTTATACCCATTAAAATTATAGCTTTATTGAGTAGGGAAGTTTTAGAAATTCTTATTAATAATTTATCATAACCAATGAACATTTTAATAAATCACAGAATGGACAGGCTTGAACCCATGACAGGCAAGTCCTAAACCATTTTAAAACTTATGCAACTAAGACTCATCTATGGAACAAATTTTAATATTATGGAGGAAAGTTATGGCTAATATTAATATTAACAAGTTCATTTCAAATGAAGAGGCCATATGATGATACAGATCTGTCAATTTGGAATAAATGTGGGGTGTCAAATGTGGATTATAAGTATTTAAGGGTTAGGGCTGAGAGGAGTATAGAGGAGAGAGTCTTAGAGGTGCTAAGTGAAGAGAGTAATAGTTTTAAGGAATGTAGACAGCAACCATCCAAGAAGGTACTGTAGCACCCTCCTGTCACAGTGTTAGACAAAAGTCTGCTAAATGTTCTGTGCTCTGGCAGCACTGCTGGTCATTTCTTTCTGGCTCATCAACTTCATCTCATCACCTTGGTTTGTTTACGTGATGCCATACATATCGACTCAGTCTCAGTAGCTGTAATAAAATTTACTGACATTTATGTGCATTATACTGCAATCTGTCTTTTCCTCATAGTCGTTATTGAGCATAGATCTAAATATCCAGAAAAAATTATTTATTGGGACATTTTGCTCAACCCTAAACAAAATGGTGTTCTTATTAAAACTTGCTCTGTACACTGTCTTCATCTTCATACCCAAACCTGTCAGCATTATGCCTATACATAATAGAGATTTTCTTAAGAAAAAACAGAACTTAACAATGGGTAGCTCTATCATCTTCTAATATAAAGTAATAATTAGGCCTAATACACATGCCTCTGGTAAAACAGTGATGGAGTGAGTGATGACGAGTATTTCTTATTTTTCGGGTCACAATGCCTTGGTGGGAAACGGTCAATGTGTTTAAAAAAAAATAAAAACTTGCTATTGACTCTTAAGAGTCATGTTGAAATCAGCTTTGTTCATACTGGACTATAATTGAAAAGATCTTATCCAAATGGCCTCTGTGCATTGAATGTAATCTGGACCAATGGGACAGTCTTGATCTAATATTAGGATAACATTACATGTAATTAAGCAGAAAACAGATGATGGAGAATCTATAGGTAGCTACAGTAGTTACCTGATTTACTATACGGAGAATGTATAAAGTACATGAATAAGACAGGTGAAGGAGAATGTATAAAGTACATGAATAAGACAGGTGAAGGAGAATGTATAAAGTAGCTATGATAAGGGGGTGATGATGTAATAGGTAAGTTATCACAAAAAAAAAAAAAATGATGATAGATAAAGGGGCAAGTCAACAAATTACCACTCACAAATATCTCTCCTTATCATTCCTGCCAGTCTATCCTAATCAGGATAGACTTGCACTTACTGGATACTGAGCTGCCAGATGAGTCACTAGAAATCCTCCATGGGACCCACCAAACAGGAACACTTGTGTATCATCAAGAACATCAGAAAACCTGTAACCATGAGAAAGTATCTGGAAAAACATGTACAACCTTTCTTTTATGCAAAGATACATAATGATTAAGATACAACACTCCATGGGGAAGTGGAGAGGAATTCTTCCTCTGTAAGCCATGCGCGTCGTAAGAGGTGACTAAAATGCCGGGAGCAAGGGGCTAGTAACCCCTTCTCCTGTATAAATTAGTAAATGTAAAAAGAAGAAAAATTTTTTGTTTCTACTTTTTCAGGTCACCCTTCCTCAGTAGGAGATGGCCGGTATGAAAAAACAAGATACAATAATACATTACTTATACTGGGTAGTTCTAAAAATTATAAAGAATACAGCAGTATTTCACAGTATTGTAATAGAGCCAGGCATGAGCTCTCAAGTGTGAAGTACAGAGCATGTCCTCCTAAGAAGAGGTGGTGATGTTACAGTCTATATATAAAGTATTCAAAACAAAAGGCAGGTATTCAGTTAATTCAATAATGAAGCCACCTGATATTTATTACAGTATGTATTATTAACCAATTATTTGCCGGCAATGTCTAATATAATTTCATGGTATCTTCAATGAGTCTTGTGGTATACACTGCCCATGTAAAATGATTATTTGTTAATTACAATAACATAGAAAACTGTAGCCCAAAGGGTGTCATCATCTTAGGATACACATTACGTGGTACTATTTTGTGTTCTGAATGGGGTGTAAACCCTAGCTCCATTAAAAAACCATACCATTAAGTCAACAGATGCTGAATGAGTTACTGGTCATCATTTGACAAAGACCTGTATGATAAGACACTTGTTCTGTTTACTGAAGAATAAACCACCACCAACTCTACCCAAATTTATTTAATATTCATCATCTGTCACTGCTCTATGTTTCAGAATTTTTCGTGGCATTTTAGAAACGATGTTATTTCCTTCACCTTATTCTCAAGTACTGTCTAACCTAAAATAATTTTCTAGGGTATCCCTGCTCTCCTAAACTGTAATTTCCCTACAATTTTTTTTTATTAAAATCTTTAACAGTTACTGATGCCATACTAACCTGTGCAAGCACTGCAGGGTGGCCTTGTGAACATCAGATACATCAGTCACACCACAATAGCCTGGTAAAGAATTTACACCATCTTCTCCAAAACCAAGAGATCCTCGATAGTTAGGGAAAACAATAGAGAAGCCAAGTTTCACGAAAAATGCTGCTGCCATTGAATAAACATTCGTGACAACAGAGTGAGGCCCTCCATGTGGCCAGCAAATCAATGGACGTTTTTCATTGCCTGTAAGTAAGTCATATTAATTTAGCTTTGAAGCACTAAACTCAAAACGAATGTCATACATCACAACATGTCTTCAATACAATATAAGCAGCTGAAGCTAAAGAGTTTTACAGTACCATCCCTACCTTGCTCAAGAGAGGTTGGGCCATAATAGATGACAGAAACAGGTATATCTGAGTACTTGAGTTCAGGATGTGGAGTGTCATTTATGAATGTCCACTGTGAATAGTAGTGGTTGGGCACTCCAGGAATCTCACGACGACATGTTACCTGCCGAACCAGTCAAGTTGCTACTCAGTACAAAAAAATTGGGAGTTTTGCAAGTATGTTCTCAGAATTTCATAGGTGTAAATCTATTCCTCCTTGGTGGGATACGGCTGGTTTGTTGAAAGAAATCCGTTCCTCCATGCGTGTCGTAAGAGGCGACTAAAATGCCGGGAGCAAGGAGCTAGTAACCTCTTCTCCTGTACATACTATTACTAAATTTAAAAAGAGAATTCGTTTTTCTTTATGGGCCATCTTGCCTAGGTGGGATATGGCCGGTTTGTTGAAAGAACTTTGGTAGTATCGGACAAAAATGAAAAAGCTGTAATTCTGGATTTTGTCTGTAGTTGTTATGTCCAGTTGTCTTCTGAAGCAATGGACCATGTTCAATGACTTCAAAGTTTGTCCAGTACTGGCTAGAGTGGCCTTGCCCAGGACCTGTCTCTTTTCATTACTCCCTGAGCCATGGGTTAATTTTCCCTGGATCTACAGTGTTTTGTGTGACTTTACTAACATATTAAGCAAATTGCAATTAATGATGGCCCCTAAAGCAAGTGGTGGTACCAAGAGGAGGAGGAAATGTGTGGTTCTCAGTGTTAAGCAGAAACCTGAACTAATAAAGAAGGTTGAGTTAGGCACCTCGGTAGTACATTTTTTCAGTAAGTTACTGTACATTATTTTCACTAGTAGAGTTTTTCAGCTTCTCTAACTCAGAATTAAAGTTATTCTGTGTCACCACTAGCAACCATGGAATGAAGTGAGCACTCTATCATTTATAGACCAAATTTAAAAATACTATCAAAAATATTTGAAAAATAATAAATAAACAAATATATTCCTACATAGTTCCACATAAAATATCTGATGTTTTGCCAGTGTGGATTCAGACTTCAAAAGAGCACAAATGAAGCAATAATGAAAATAGCAGACAATCTGCACAACACTTAATAAGAATGATTATAAAACAAGGGTGGATCCAGGAACTGTCCAGGAGGGACACCGTTCTTCCTTGTAGTAACTAGGAGGGGAGGAGGAATACCCTGCTGTGTACACTACACTTAAGCATTGGTGCACTACACACACACAAGCAGTGGTGTGCTACACACTCAAGCAATGATGCACTACACACTCAAGCAATGGTGCACTGCACATGCAATAGCACAATGCACATCATTCCAAATATTATTAAATATAGCTTCACTGCTTTCTCTTCATATTAGTATTAAAGCAGTTAAATAATTAACTAAATTATTATTTTATTTATAGTAGTAAACCTTCACTGTTTTTACAATTATTTATATGCATATTTTAGCTCATTGATTCTCAGTGCAATAATTTATGCCCAGGTTCAGACACCTTGCTTGGATGTCCAAAAATAAGTACAGCCGAGTCGCTAAACTCACTATGTTTTTCAATAGTTTTTATATTTACTTTATGTAAGAAATGACTTTCAGAGTGGCTCAGGGGTTGGCCGTTGCCCCCTCATCCCTTCCCCGGACACGCCCATTATAGTTAATCTGCCCAAAATGCTCTGCATAACCACAGGTTTTCTGCGTGCACAGCCAAATGTCACCATCTCTGTACAAACACTGCATCATGTGGAAATAAATCTTTGAATTGACTTTGATATTGCTCAAAATACTATGAGTATTAGGGAATTGTGAAATATTGTCATAACTGTATGCAACCTGTGTAAACCTACACAGTACTCTGGGAATGATGATGATGATAATGTTTGAATGCTAAATGCTTGTACTGTAAATATTATAAACTGTATGGTTCAAAAAAAAAAAAAAAAAGAGAAAGTAGTTAAGATGAACATATTATAAAGTTGACAGAGAGATGCTTCACTCTTAACCAACACAGAAAGTTAACCTCTTTTAGTTGCAGTTGCCTTTCTTGTCCCTGCTGTGGGAGATATCCCAAGAGGATTTGATTTGGCTGGGAGATATAGGAGAAATCCACTAAGACCCAGTCATCACATACATCCAGGACCTGAACACTTCCCAAATGAGGCAATTCTGTAATGATGCCAGACACTGAAACAAAAAAAATTATGTTGACAATTATTAAAAATTATATTATCTGTGTTTATACTTTTTTGTTTGAACACACTGGCCATCTCCCACTGAGGGAGGTGCTGAGAAGAAAGCCAACAAACTTGCCACTGAGCCTGGACTGGGCCTGGGCTGGACTCTGGGAGTTAGAAAAACTCTCGGAAGTCAAAGGAATGTCAAAGGTAAAGGAACGAAAATTGCGTTTTCTATACTCAAATGTTCATCATTCTTTCAAGTATCATATACATCACTCAAATTAGAGAGGTCATCCTTTTACCCTACCTTATACCATTGAGAATAATGGGAGTTATGATCATGTGGTCAAACCCAAAGACAGTGATTATGCTCTTGAGAAAAACAACAAACGTGTCATGCCACCTTAAAGATCAGCAAATGTGCTTTAAAATGAGACCAGTTTGATCAAAATTGTATGGGTGGTTGCTCAGATATTGTTGCAAATGTGTTACAATAGGTTATATGTGATTTTCTCGAAACTGCCAATTGGCGAGTTCATTTGGTTTTCTTCTCAGTGCCTCATGTAATACATTACTGATGTACTGTACTCTACTGGTCAATAATCAAAAATACCAATTATGATTGCTTTCAAACTTTACAGTGTGTTCATAAAAGCATTTGAGACACATTCTTACTTACCAACATTGACAACATATAAAATGATATTGTCAAACTTCATGGTAGAAAATACAACACGCTGACTATCATTCAACCAGCATCTTCGTGGCAACCCGGCATAGCCATAGATTCCTTTGAAGCAGGAGCCTTCCTCAATTGCTTGACTTCTATGAACAACATCCACAACTACACGTTTCTAAAACAGAAAAAAAATGGTATACCACTGAAAGCAAACCTGAATTATATCTAGCCTATGTATGTATTTCTGATGCCTTGTTTTTTCTGGGAACTTAATTAGTGACAATAAAAATAGTATTTCCTGCCTTGATGGGAGACAGTCAACATGTTAAAAAAATATTTCCAACCTGCTTTATTCAATTTTTATATTTTTACAAATACAGTAGGGCCCCGCTTTATGGCATTCCGCTAGTACGGCGATGTCAAATTATGACCAAAATTTGCTATATGGCAAGCGGTCTTTCAAATACGGTGCGCCCCACCAGGTTTGTTTACATTCTCTGTGACCACATCTATTATGTCTGGAAACTTTCCAAAATTTCAAGTGTTTTATAGTTATTGAGTATTTTTTATGTACTCTGATAATTATACTTATGTGTACCTGTACCTAAATATACTTACACACTGTGCTGGTGTGCAGGTATACATTAAAATCACTAAGTCTCTCTCTACTCATGACGCCAATAGTACGTAATAATCATCACTCTTGGGCACATTAAATGTCTTATTTTACATTAATATAGACTTCTTTCTTTCTTTCATCTACGATATTTTCCTCAAAATTATATAAGAAATATGTTACATAGCATATAAACATGATACATACACTCATAGAATAAAAATTGACGTAAATATGAGATTTGTTTACAAAGTGGCTATGTAGGTAGTGTCGGAAGAATTACGTTTTCTCTAGTCAAACACTGGGGGATACCTGTAGAAAAATATTCCTTTCGTATGCCTTCACTCTACATATAGCAATTCACGACCCTTGTGGGTTTAGCACTTTTTTATTATGATGATGATAATATCATCATCATCTTCACTCTAAAAATGGTGTGTTGCATGAAAATGGGAGTGTTGCTGTTTGTTTATTCTGTACTAACTTGTACAACTTGTACACAATGTAAGAGTATTTGTATTGTGAGGTAATTATTATTATAATAAAAAAAATATTGTGAGGTAAAAGTTTTACAAACTCTTACAAACGTACGGGAATGAACTAAAAGCAGACACATATTAATACGCATTTATTTCGCCTGACAAAGTGATCGCGCACTACCTGTTCAGTTTGTGTTCTTACATTGTCTGAACTCTGTATCTTGTTCTCTCTCTCATTTACTCTTTCGTTAACTAGTTGGCTCTCATTGACGATGGCATCTAAGCTTAGCTGTAATAAAAAGAGGAGTTGTAAGCCTCTTGCTTTAAATGCCAAGTTAGAGGATGATAGTGTGCCATTCTGATTTTATTCAATAAACACCCTGCCACTTACCTCTCACACATTAATATTAATATTTTAAGGTAAGTAACAATGTGGCAGATGTTGCAGGTGTATGGTGTAGGAGGCAGGTTACTGAAAGCAGTGAAGAGTTTTTACGAGGATAGTGAGGCTCAAGTTAGAGTATGTAGGAAAGAGGGAAATTATTTCCCAGTAAAAGTAGGCCTTAGACAAGGATGTGTGATGTCACCATGGTTGTTTAATATATTTATAGATGGGGTTGTAAGAGAAGTAAATGCGAGGGTCTTGGCAAGAGGCGTGGAGTTAAAAGATAAAGAATCACACAAAGTGGGAGTTGTCACAGTTGCTCTTTGCTGATGACACTGTGCTCTTGGGAGATTCTGAAGAGAAGTTGCAGAGATTGGTGGATGAATTTGGTAGGGTATGCAAAAGAAGAAAATTAAAAGTGAATACAGGAAAGAGTAAGGTTATGAGGATAACAAAAAGATTGGGTGATGAAAGATTGGATATCAGATTGGAGGGAGAGAGTATGGAGGAGGTGAATGTATTCAGATATTTGGGAGTGGATGTGTCAGCGGATGGGTCTATGAAAGATGAGGTGAATCATAGAATTGATGAGGGGAAAAGGGCGAGTGGTACCCTTAGGAGTCTGTGGAGACAAAGAACTTTGTCCTTGGAGGCAAAGAGGGGAATGTATGAGATTTTAGTTTTACCAACGCTCTTATATGGGTGTGAAGCATGGGTGATGAATGTTTCAGCGAGGAGAAGGCTGGAGGCAGTGGAGATGTCATGTCTGAGGGCAATGTGTGGTGTGAATATAATGCAGAGAATTCGTAGTTTGGAAGTTAGGAGGAGGTGCGGGATTACCAAAACTGTTGTCCAGAGGGCTGAGGAAGGTTTGTTGAGGTGGTTCGGACATGTAGAGAGAATGGAGCGAAACAGAGTGACTTCAAGAGTGTATCAATCTGTAGTGGAAGGAAGGCGGGGTAGGGGTCGGCCTAGGAAAGGTTGGAGGGAGGGGGTAAAGGAGGTTTTGTGTGTGAGGGGCTTGGACTTCCAGCAGGCATGCGTGAGCGTGTTTGATAGGAGTGAATGGAGACAAATGGTTTTTAATACTTGACGTGCTGTTGGAGTGTGAGCAAAGTAACATTTATGAAGGGGTTCAGGGAAACCGGCAGGCCGGACTTGAGTCCTGGAGATGGGAAGTACAGTGCCTGCACTCTGAAGGAGGGGTGTTAATGTTGCAGTTTAAACTGAAGTGTAAAGCACCCTTCTGGCAAGACAGTGATGGAGTGAATGATGGTGAAAGTTTTTCTTTTTCGGGCCACCCTGCCTTGGTGGGAATCGGCCGGTGTGATAATAAAAATAAATAAGTAACAAGTCCTGTAATTGTTTTACAAGATGGTATGATTGCTGGTGTCCTTTTTTCTGTCTCATAAACATGCAAGATTTCAGGTACGTCTTGCTACTTCTACTTACACTTAGGTCACACTACACATACATGTACAAGCATATACAGTATATACACACACCCCTCTGGGTTTTTTGCTATTTTCTTTCTAGTTCTTGTTCTTGTTTATTTCCTCTTATCTCCATGTAGAAGTGGAACAGAATTCTTCCTCCGTAAGCCATGCGTGTTGTAAGAGGCGACTAAAATGCCGGGAGCAAGGGGCTAGTAACCCCTTCCTGGAGTTTACCTGGAGAGAGTTCCGGGGGTCAACGCCCCCGCGGCCCGGTCTGTGACCAGGCCTCCTGGTGGATCAGAGCCTGATCAACCAGGCTAATACTGCTGGCTGCACGCAAACCAACGTACGAGCCACAGCCCGGCTGATCAGGAACCGACTTTAGGTGCTTGTCCAGTGCCAGCTTGAAGACTGCCAGGGGTCTGTTGGTAATCCCCCTTATGTATGCTGGGAGGCAGTTGAACAGTCTCGGGGCCCCTGACGCTTATTGTATGGTCTCTTAACGTGCTAGTGACACCCCTGCTTTTCATTGGGGGGATGCTGCATCGTCTGCCAAGTCTTTTGCTTTCGTAGTGAGTGATTTTCATGTGCAAGTTCGGTACTAGTCCCTCTAGGATTTTCCAGGTGTATATAATCATGTATCTCTCCCGCCTGCGTTCCAGGGAATACAGGTTCAGGAACCTCAAGCGCTCCCAGTAATTGAGGTGTTTTATCTCCGTTATGCGCACCGTGAAGGTTCTCTGTACATTTTCTAGGTCAGCAATTTCACCTGCCTTGAAAGGTGCTGTTAGTGTGCAGCAATATTCCAGCCTAGATAGAACAAGTGACCTGAAGAGTGTCATCATGGGCTTGGCATCCCTAGTTTTGAAGGTTCTCATTATCCATCCTGTCATTTTTCTAGCAGATGCGATTGATACAATGTTATGGTCCTTGAAGGTGAGATCCTCCGACATGATCACTCCCAGGTCTGTGACGTTGGTGTTACGCTCTATTTTGTGGCCAGAATTTGTTTTGTACTCTGATGAAGATTTAATTTCCTAGTGTTTACCATATCTGAGTAATTGAAATTTCTCATCGTTGAACTTCATATTGTTTTTTGCAGCCCACTGAAAGATTTGGTTGATGTCCGCCTGGAGCCTTGCAGTGTCTGCAATGGAAGACACTGTCATGCAGATTCGGGTGTCATCTGCAAAGGAAGACACGGTGCTGTGGTTGACATCCTTGTCTATGTCAGATATGAGGATGAGGAATAAGATGGGAGCGAGTACTGTGCCTTGTGGAACAGAGCTTTTCACCATGGCTGCCTCGGATTTTACTCTGTTGACTACTACTCTCTGTGTTGTGTTAGTGAGGAAATTATAGATCCATCGACGAATTATTCATTACCTCTCCCTTTGTTTATGATGGCATCTAAAGGTAGTTGTTAGAAACGATTAAATTCAGTGAACAAGGTATGTCCATGCTAATAATATGGCTCTGGGCCACAGTGCAGGTAGCCGGTAGGTGTAGCCCAGGCGGGCTACACCTACCAGCTACACCTACCGGCTACCTACACTGACTTCCTACAAATAAATACTACTCACCTCTGTTCCTATATTAAGACTACTTATATTTTAAGGTAAATAATGAGTGTACTGTATGTGTATTTTAACTCTCTGGGATGTTTTAAATACAGTGGAACCTCTACTTGCGAGTTTAATCTGTTCCATGACCTTGCTCGCAACTGGATTTGCTCGTTTGCAGAGTCAATTTTTCTCATTTAAATTAACTGAAATGCAATTAATCTGTTCCAGTGGAATTCTGTACTTCTATAATTTCGCTAATATCAACTTTACGGCTTATTTATCTATCTCACTTGATCTAATATGACATAATGAACAACATAAATAACATAGAAACCTGATATATACTCTAAAATGAATAAAATATGTAATTCATGTAGTGGTATGGGCGGTGTCGGTGGTGGACAAAAGTTTGTCTGGAGACTGGACAAAATACTTCTTGAATAATTTTGCTATCATCTATACAGCTTATTTATCTATCACAGTTCATCTAATATAACATAACAAACAATATAAATAACATAGAAACCTGATATATACTCTAGAATGAATAAAATATGTCATTATATATGTGGCAGCGGCGCCCCTGTGTTACACTGCAGTCTCCTTGCAGGTCACAGACTCACAATAGGTAATTCAGCAACTTGGTCACCTATCCATGGATGCCAGAGGGTGACTTAGGCAAGGAATGTGGGGCAACATAGACAAGCAAACGAGCATTTATCTCTCATTGAGCTCAATTTCAAGGTACTTTTCATCTTGAAAGCAATCAAAATCATATCTATTTCTGTAATATATCTTCCATTCTATCAAAGGAGACTAAAAAAATGAGAATACAACCATAAAAACCATACGAAAATACCGCTAAGGGGTGGCTAATTGCTGAGAAGTGAACTCCATTATTTATGCTCCGATTTCTTTCATTTTTGGTGTACATTAAGAGGCATCTTTCCATCATACATTGCCCAAGTTTCAATGATAGTCCAACAAACAAATGAGATACAATTCCCTAGATCAAGAGCAAGAGCCCCTCACCAGCGTCAAGGAACCTCCCTTGAGGTCTGCTCGTTTATGGAAATTTTGCTCGTGTATGGAAGCAAAAAATCAACTCATCGACTGCTCGTACTTGGAAAAACTCGCACGTGGCTGCGCTCGCAAGTAGAGGTTCCACTGTATCATATATTAAGTATGAGTCGGGGAGCCAGGGCTACCTACACCTGACTTCCTATAAATAAGTACTACTCACCTCTCTCCCTACATTAAGATTACAAATACTTTAAGATAAGTAATGAATGTACTATGAATGTATTTTACTTTGTGTGTTTTTAATGCCTAGTTCTATTACTAACTTTATACAATTTAGTGTAAACATGTTCTCTGGCATTTATATGCTTTTATAAATGGAAAAAATGGCGTTCTGCTTTCTGGCGAAGTCTGCTTTCCGGCGATAGCCTGGAACCTAACCCGCCGTATAAGTGGGGCAATACTGTATGATCCTTCCATTCACACCCAAATATTGCAAAAGTGTCTAGATCTTCAATCTCTGCCTTGCTAAAAGCATGATGACATTATAGTTCAGATGGCTCTGAGCTGCAACATCCTCAACATAAGGTCTTGTGACCTCAAAATGACCTAGGTATCCTGTGGCTAGGTAGGCAAGGCATTCATCTCAAACACTGAGTGTCCATGGTTCAATCCCTGGCCAGGTGCAACACTGGGTGTTTCCTAATACCTGCTGTCCCTGTTCACCCAAGAAGTAGCTGCCTGCCGACTAGTATGGGCTGCATCCTGGGGGACAAGACTGAAGGACCACAATGGAAATAAGACAAACAGTCCTCGATGATGCACTGACTTTCTTGGATTATCCTGGGTGGATAATCTTCCAGGTTAAAAATCCTAACAAATCATATATTTTAAGATTATAACTCTTGACCTACAGGCCAGATTGAGCTAAGATTTACAGATGTGAGTTCAGAGTACAGGATAACCTTGAATGCCAAATTTGAAGAGATTTTGAGATACTAGGGTGTTTAAACCTCAAAAGTATTGGTTATCTTGTCTCCAAACTCCCCTGGTGAAAAAAGCTGATATGATTAAAAAAAATCAGATTTAATGAAAATGGGATGATGACATGGCAATGAGAGAAGAGGATAATTCTTGACAAATACAATGTCACTATGTATGAATGTGAATGATTTTCTTGTATTGATCATAGACAAAACAATGATGAATTTAGAAAGTTTCAATTCTAAACACAACAAATTCTATGTGCAAAGTTCTTCTGATCATACTTGCTTGTCAGACAAGGAGAGAAGGCAAAGCTGGGCACATTTAGCATGAGGTCCCCCCACCTCTGAGCGCAGGTATATGATACTTGATCCGTCTGGGCTTACACGAGGGCTTCTAAAGTTGGCACTCTCTTCAATTATACCTGGTAATTGAATGTCAATAAATTATAGCATTCAAACTTGAAAATGAGAAATATAAATGATGTACTAAGCATGTGATATTGTTATCATTACTGTATATGCAATAATGAAAAAATTGTATAATTCTACTATTGCAATTCCTATTTCACATTTCTCATTAAATAAAAAAACATTTAACCATTGATAATATCTGAAAACTCATGCTGTACTATGTACTTCTCTCACTCACTTATGACAAGTGTTGAAAGTGTTATATCCTAAAATGTTATTTTGAATGACAACAACTGTTATGTCAAACAGGATCCATAAACTGCACATACTGTAGCTTCCTTCCAAATCCATATGAAAGAGTTTGGATTCTCTGTTGTGGCAGTATATTAGCCCTAGCCTGTAGGGTTTACCAAGAAAAGCCACGCCAAAGATTCCAGAGCCACCTGGGGCCCATACAAGCTGACCCGGACAAAGCTGATCCGTTAAGTCATGGCATTTTATCTCTCCTGACTGCACATTTAGAATGCAAACAACACTCTGAAATACAATAAAATAGATTAACACCAAAGACAGGAAGGACAACAAGGGGTGGAGGAAGGAGATAAAAAAAAAGATAAGTACTGTACATACAATAAAACCCCTGTATCTGCAGATTCAGTATCCATGGTTTCAGCTATCTGCGGTTTACCGTGGCCCAAAAATAATCCTTAATTTTGCTCAATAATGACACCAAAGTGCAATAATATAGATGGCGGCAGTTCTTCAAAGCCTCAGAGAAGCTGTAAAGTGATTCCTATTAGCGAAAAAGTGCTAACTCTCCAATTATTGTGCTTAATTTATCAACTAAACTTTATTATAGGGATGTATGTAAATGAAAAATGGCTTGTATATAAGGGTTTGCTACTATCCACAGTTTTGGGTATCCACAATAGGGCTTGGAACGTATCCCCTGCAGATATAGGGGGGCTACTGTAGTGGAAGAAGACTGGTAGTAATAGTGGTAGTGTAGATACAGGAGGTGGTTGTATGATTTAGAATAAATTTTGACTTATGAAATTACTCAACACTCTTGGTAAGAAAAAATAAAAAATACAAATATACACACAAGGAAAAACTATTTAGTAAAGATAAAAAATACAAATACAGTAAATTACTGTCACACCACCACAGTGTAAGGATCCTGGTAATAGCAGCAGGAGGAGGGAAATGTTAGTAATATAATGGGTGGAGTCAGTTGAGGGTTTGCCACTTGTAATTCCAAATACTATAACTTCCTAAATTCTTTCCTAGATATGAGCATCCTCACACTTCAACAGAATATTAAATCCAGAAACACTCACTTCTCAATTTTTCTTCTACAACACCTTCCAGTCCATCCCTTGATGTTCACTACATCTTCCATCTACCTTTGATATGTGCACCATCTTAACTCTTTGCTATCAAATTAGCCATAAGGCATAATTAAAGTAGGAAGTTTATTCCATCAAATGGCAAAGAATTCCTGCCTCAATTCCAATATAAGCTGATCAAGGCATGGAGGTTACACCTGCCTAAATTTGGTTACCTGCTACCATATATCACACTATTTCAAAACATGGTGTTCTTGATCAGTGTAAATGTGAAACAATAATGTACTGCTTATTCAACCAATGAATTGTACAACAGTTCAATTGACAAGAGGTATCTTGTTTATGCATTAAGTGATGGCATGTTCCTTCCACAGCTGTTTTGCCAGAAGTATGAGGACACCACAATTCAAATTGCCCTCCAAAGTACAACATTCTCACTCATCCTCCAGAGTGCAGGTATTGTACTTCTTACTTACAGGACACAAGTCTGAATAAGCAATTTTTCTGAATACTTTTATATATGTTACTCTCCTCACAGTACAACAGCAGAAGTTGTGAAATATTAAAAATACAAAATATTAAGAGACTTATAGCTAGGAACTTGGGTAGCTTTCAAAAGAGATTGGACATAATATAGGAGTGGGAGGGGATGGGTGTGATTGGTGTTGTGGGTATGGGAGTAAATTCTTGGGTAGTGGTAGTTTTGATAAGGACCTGTCTTGTATGGGCCAGCAGGCCCGCAGTGTTCCTCCATTCTTATGCTGTTCTTATGTTATCTACACTTTCTCATGTGCAGAAGACACTTAACCTTGCTCAATCACTAAGCACCCTTATGCTGATATAAATTTTTCTATACTGTATATGTTTGGCATAATTTTGAATGCTCATACCTTTGATTTTTGCTTTGGCTCCCCTTTTAAAAATATCTGTAGATGCTTATTTCTGGAAGTGGAGAATATGAAGACCATCAACTGGTGCAGGTGTGTATTGCTTGATGCAGATGTGTTCCATGGCAGCTGTATCTATGTTGTTTTCCGCATGGAAAACAACACAGATACAGATTGCACTGGCAAATGTACATCACGCATAAGAAATTACCATTAGAAATAGGATATTCCATAATAGTGGGTTCAAATAAAGCAAGAGAAATCTATACAGTACTACAATGTTAAGTTACTCAAAGAAAAACAATGAGGAAACACTGTACACTGCATTTTTCTGCCCTCATAGCAATGGTCCCATGGGTGACCAGATGTCTCTGATTCACTATGCAAAAGTGGAAAATATACAAAGAAGGTTAAGAATATTTGGTCCTCACTTGATGTTTGCTAACCAGCTGTTCTCCCCATTCATCTCGAAAAGTAAACTCTTGACCTCGACTGTCTTCCTTCTCACCACTGCTGAGAAACCAAGAAAATACCAGTGAAATAAAAGTAATGGTTGTTTGTAAATAAAAAGATGAATGCTAATTTCTTAGCTACACAGTATTATGAGTTTATAGGACATGGATATTCTCTAGACATTTAATTAAATATAGGTAAGGTTGCAGTCAAGAAAAATTTGCCAATAAACTAACACTGAATTATATATATATTTTTTTTAACATGTTGACCATCTCCCACCGAGGCAGGGTAGTCCAAAAAAGAAACATTTTTGCCATCATTCACCCATAATCACTATCTTTGCAGAGGTGCCCTGATACAACAGTTCAGAAGTCACTCCAAACAGCCAATATCCCAAATCCCTCCTTTAACCCTTAAACAGTCCAACCAGATCGACGTTCAAATCCGTGGTGCTCCAAAAGTAGATCTACGTTTTTTTTTACATATTTTGGAACATAACAAAAAAACAAATGTAGATAAAAGTTTTTTTTTACACATTTTCAAATGAAAAAAAAAAAAGATCATCTACATTTTTTTTACATACTTTCAAATGTTGAAAAAACGTATATATACGTTTGGACCGTTTAAGGGTTAAAGAGCATACATTGTACTTCCCACTTGCAGGACTCTAGTCCTGTTTTGTATTTGTCATGTTTTGTATTCCCTCACTCATTCTTCTAATCTTTAACCTTGACTAAAGCTAATTTTATATAAGCTTTCTGAAAGCATAGTAGATGGTAAAGCACATATGAGATACAGAAACAGTGTTAAACCTTTATTTCTTTGCATTTTTACTCCTGCAGCAGCTCATATGAAGCTCCTGTATGAGTGAGACATCATTAATTAATAAAAGTTCTATACTGCTTCTGTAATTCATATACCTAAATGTAGTGAAGCTGAAACCCCGTAGCAACTCACTACTGAAGCAGCTTAGAGGAAAATAAATGCATGTGGTCTTGAACTTCTCACGTTTTTTTTTTTTTTAATATAGTACATATATATTTTATTTTGAGAATGAATAATTAATTTTGTACATGACTGAAAAACTTGAAACCAGGCAGGATAGCGGATTTTATAAGAGACATCAATCAGATTACAGTACTTCAAAATGTCTAACATGATAAACCATGGAATGGGTGGGATTTGAACTTAAGACTCCAGGTCAGTGTGTAAGCCACTTGGCCAGCTAGTTCTAGGTATATTTATATACACCACAGGGAGGTTAGCATGGGCCACATTTCATGGTTTGTTTGCAATCATGTTATTAATTTCATGAGTTTCACAAGATACATGTATACAACAAGTTTACCAAGTCACAATACAGAACAGATAAAATGAAATTCTTTATCCAACTGCCAAGAAACCTGTGGAGCACAGACAGAAAAACCTGTCAAGTCGAAATGGGATGACCTTTCACAAGTCACAAATTTCCTGTCCATGAGAGGGACACAGAGACAGTGGTTGACATATGAATACAGGTAAATATTACTACAGTAGTGTACCTTTGGTAATGCATAAGGGAAGAATAAATCAGTTTTTGAAGTACAGTGCAGAATATTCTTTAGAAATATACTGGTGTACATTAATTTTATATAAAACAATGTATACAGGTTTTCTACCATTATAATGAATGCAGGACCAAAGATGAAAATCAGAAAAGAACTGTTAAAATGGACACAATACAAAAATTAACTTTACAAAGAGAATGCAGAATACAAAGTCCTCCAAAAAATAACCAAATACATGATAATTTTGTTTCATAACAGAATATTTCATTATGATAAGAGCAACACAGAGTGGCCATACTGATAATGAACAAACAGGCACAATACCTCAAATAAAACAATACACAAATAACTCATACAAAAGAAAAGCTATGACAATGTTTTGGTCTGACTTAGACTTGTAAATGGTCCAAGCGAGACTGAAACATTGTCGAAGCTTCTCTCTTGTATGTGCAGGTTATTTGTGTATGCCATACTGATGCTGTATGCACTAATGAAGCAGCATAGCTCTAAAAGAAAGCTTTGAAAATTTAGTCTAACTTTTCTAGAGTTGTCAAGGCATTACCTTTTAGGCAGCGTCATGAAGCTCGTAGGCTTAGGCTGTTTCTTCTCAGCAACATATGCAAGCATTTTCTCATCTGGAGACCATTCCAAGCAACCAAACTCTCCATCAGAATAGACCTACATTACAAAAGCCACAAATTTCAAAAATTTAATATGGGAATTATGCATGAATTCCAATTTTTAGCATTCTTGTCATGAGGTGTAAGCTACAAGCTGCAACTCATCTCCCACAAGCACAATTAAGTGATTAGTCTATATCAATTTGTTCCTCTAAGGTTTTTGTTTCTCATTCCACTGTCCTTAAAAGCAAAACAAATTACAGATTACTATAAATGACACATGTCTTTCCATACATTGCATTTACTGTATTATCTATGATTTTTTCATTCTTAATGTACTGTAATAGTTATTAAGTGAGACAGAATGAATTTTGTATATATTTCTTTTTGAGATTCTAAAGAAAAACTGCAAAAGTTAGCAGACAAATTTGAGAGTGTGTGTAAAGGTAGAAAGTTGAAAGTGAACATAGAAAAGAGTAAGGCGATGAGGGTATCAAATGATTTAGATAAAGAAAAATTGGATATCAAATTGAGGAGGAGTATGGAAGAAGTGAATGTTTTCAGATATTTGGGAGTTGATGTGTCAGTGGATGGATTTATGAAGGACGAGGTTAATCATAGAATTGATGAAGGAAAAAAGGTGAGTGGTGCACTGAGGTATATGTGGAGGCAAAAAATGTTATCTATGAAGGCAAAGAAGGGAATGTATGAAAGTACAGTAGTACCAACACTCTTACATGGGTGTGAAGCTTAGGTTGTAAATGCTGCAGCGAGGAGGCGGTTGGAGGCAGTGGAGATGTCCTGTCTAAGGGCAATGTGTTGTGTAAATATTATGCAGAAAATTCAGAGTGTGGAAATTAGGAGAAGGTGTGGAGTTATTAAAAGTATTAGTCAGGGGCTGAAGAGGGGTTGTTGAGGTGGTTTGGTCATTTAGAGAGAATGGATCAAAGTAGAATGACATGGAGAGTGTATAAATCTGTAGAAGGAAGGCGGGGTAGGGGTCGTCCTCGAAAAGGTTGGAGGGAGGGAGTAAAGGTGGTGTTGTGGGCGAGGGGTTTGGATTTCCAGCAAGAGTGCATGAGCGTGTTAGATAGGAGTGAATGGAGACGAGCTGTTGGAGTGTGAGCAGGGTAATATTTAGTGAAGGGATTCAGGAAAACCGGTTATTTTATATAGCCGGACTCGATTCCTGGAAATGGGAAGTACAATGCCTGCACTTTAAAGGAGGGGTTTTGGGATATTGGCAGTTGGTGTATTTTTATACATATATACTTCTAAACTGTTGTATTCTGGGCACCTCTGAAAAACAGTGATTATGTGCGAGTGAGGTGAAAGCGTTGAATGATGATGAAAGTATTTCTTTTTTGGGGATTTTCTTTCTTTTTGAGTCACCTTGCCTCGGTGGGAGATGGCCGACTTGTTGAAAAAAAAAAAAAAAAAATTTCAATGAACCAGTCATATTCCACCGAGGCAGGGTTTACCTGGAGAGGGTTTCAGGGATCAATGCCCCTGCAGCCCGGTCTGAGACCAGGCTTCATGGTGGATCAGGGTCTGATCAACCAGGCTGTTACTGCTGGCCGCACACAAGCTGACATACGAACCACAGCCTGGTTGGTCAGGTACTGACTTTAGGTGCCTGTCCAGTGCCTTCTTGAAGACAGCCAGGGGTTTATTGGTAATCCCCCTTATGTATGCTGGGAGGTAGTTGAACAGTCTTGGGCCCCGGACACTTATCGTGTTGTCTCTCAGTGTACTCGTGGCACCCCTGCTTTTCATCGGGGGAATGTTGCATCTCCTGCCGAGTCTTTTGCTTTCATATAGAATGATTTTCGTGCGCAAGTTTGGTACCAATCCCTCCAGGACCTTCCAAGTGTATATTATCATATATCTCTCTCGCCTGCATTCGAGGGAGTACAGAGATAAAAAGAAAAACAAAAGTTTTTCCTTTTAAATTTACTAATTTATACAGAAGGGGTTACTAGCCCCTTTCTCCTGGCATTTTAGTCGCCTCTTACGACACGCATGGCTTACAGAGGAAGAATTCTGTTCCACTTCCCCATGGAAGAGAAAGGTAGTTTGACTTGGTGACCATCAGGGCCCCAGCATGCACCCAGGGAGGTACTATCGTCCTGCCAAGTGAGTGTAAAACGAAAGCCTGAAATTGTTTTACATGATGGTAGGATTGCTGGTGTCTCTTTTCTGTCTCATACACGTGCAAGATTTCAGATACGTCTTGCTACTTCCACTTACACTTAGGTTACGCTACACATGGACATACAAGCAGATATATACACACTCCTCAGGGTTTTCTTCTATTTTCTTGCTAGTTCTTGTTCTTGTTTATCTACTTTTACCTCCATGGGGAAGTGAAACAGAATTCTTCCTCCGTAAGCCATGCATGTCGTAGGAGACGACTAAAGTGCCGGGAGTAAGGGGCTAGTAACCCCTTCCCCTGTATAAATTACTAAATTTAAAAATAAAGACTTTGTTTTTGTTTTTGGGTCACTCTGCTTTGGTGGGATATGGCTGGTTTGTTAAAAAACAAAATATATATAATATTAACAACTCCATGGGAAATGGAGAAGAATCCTTCCTTCACAAGACACGAGTGTCATAGAAGCAAGGGGTTAGTGAATCCTCCTCCTGTATAAATACGAAACGAAGAAAACTTTTCATTTCTTCTTTATCAGGTCACCCTGCCTCAGTGGGAGGCAGTCAGCGTACTGAAATAAAAAATATGAGATGAATTAGCAACTTGCTCACTTTTCCATGTTTCTCTGAAGCTTTAAGATCAAATGTTTTCATGGAGCTGTCTTGGTTGAGCACGATCACTTGCTGCTCCTCCTGGTTCTTCTCTGAGGTCACTACTAAGGCTGTCCACTTCCCTGTTGCACTTGTCTGACTAAGCTCTCTGAAACAATGCATTATGGGCAATTATTTGTGGTATTTCTGTTTCTTTCAAGTAATAAACCCCTTTAACTAGTCTTTTTAAACAAAAGACTCAAAACCATAATAACATCATAAGAAATACATTAATAATCACATATGTCGGGAATGCGTAAATGTAAAGGTGCTCCTTGACTTGCACTGGGGTTACACTCTGATGAACCCACCATAAGTTGAAAATATTGTAAGTCAAACGTGAATATGATTATTTTTTATTTATTAGCACATTAGCCATTTCCCACCAAGGCAGGGTGGCCCACAAAAGAAAAACTTCATCATTCACGCCATCACTGTCTTGCCAGAGGTGGGCTCACACCACAGTTATAAACCTGCAACATTAACACCCCTCCTTCAGAGTGCACGCACTGTACTTCCCATCTCCAGGACTCAAGTCCGGCCTGCCAGTTTCCCTCAGTTCCTTAATAAATGTTACCTTGCTCACACTCCAACAGCACGAATATGATATGCTATATAAATAAGTAAATAAGTGCTGCCATTGAATAAGTAAATAAACAAATAATTACTTTAACTAAATACCAGTATTAAAAAGTAAATAAATGAATACAAATTACACACTTGCTGCTTTCATGCTGGGTAATTATCTTAAGTTTCGTCTCCAAAGTAATTATTTTGCACCATCGTAAGTCAAACCACTGTAAGTCAAAGAGCACCTGTTATGTTCATCATACTGTATTCCTGTGACTTATCTGGTTTTATTAGTGAAGCACAGTATTTGTCACATGTTCACACTGAAAAGCACAAACATGTACATAAAACAAAGAATGACTAAGCAAACATAAAAAAGTGTGGCAGCAGGAGAGAAGAAATGGAACCAAAGCCATGACTCAAATGTGTGAAATAGTCAAAGAATTAGAAAATTGTAGTTTTAACAGCAACGGCAATAAGAAGTAGAGTAAATAGAGTAGGTGAAAAGGCAGTGATGCAGTCAGCATCAACAATCAAAAGGGACAAGCAGGAAAGGAAGATGGGAACATTTTGTCAAGAAAATTGGGAAAGGTTCTCCTGACAAAGGTATTAGTCATGTTATGACTCACTCAGTGAATTACTGTTTATTTTCATTATATTAGGGGTCATTCAGAGCTTGAGAATGGGAGACTGTCAGACTTGATCAAAAAGAGGAGAGAACATGCTCAGTTCCTTGAATCAATAACCCTTCACCAGCATCAAGGACCCTCCATTGAGGGGTTGCTCAAAGAAGCTTTTGGTCATTTGACTGAAACCTCTCATGAGAATGCTGGTCTAAAATAAATAAATAAATAAAATAATAAACACACACACACACACACACGTATGTATATCTTTCTTTCTTTCAGCACACTGGCCATATCCCACTGAGGCGGTGTGGCCCAAAAAGAAGAATGTAAGTTTCTCTTTTTAAATTTAGTACTGTAATGTATACAGAAGGGGTTACTAGTCTCTTGCTCCCAGTATCTTACGACATGTATGGCATACAAAGGAAGAATTCTGTTCTACTTCCGCATGGAGATAAGTGGAAATAAACAAGAACAAGAACTAGTAAGAAAATAGAAGAAAGCCCAGAGGGGTGTGTACATATACATGTATGCTTGTACATGCATGTGTAGTGTGACCTAAGTGTAAGTAGAAGTAGCAAGGCATACCTGAAATCTTGCATGTTTATACACATGCATGCATAAATACATACACATACGTACATGCATATACAAACATACATGCATGCATACATAAACATACATACATCCATGCACAAACAATACATACACATACATTAGTATGCTGTTCACTTTCCCTGACTGAGATCACCTGGTCTATAATGTCTTGAATAATAACTTTCTTTTTGCATTATTCTACCTTAAAGATAAATAATGGTTACTGCACTGCTAAATATCATGTAGATTTTCCAATACTTACACATTCTTATTTACTGGAACAGGAAGAAAGGAAATTACTTTTTCCCCTTGAACAAGATAATCAGTGCTTGTATATGATCGTTCCAGCGATGTTAAATTACGGGAACTCCAGAGGACCTACAAAAAAAACCTATCAAAAATATTTTTTATTTTATTTTGATCTTAAATGTAAATTTCTTAACATACTATATAGTAACTTTTATAATCATGGAAAAGTGATAATATATAGGGGTCATACAACAGCTAGAGAATGAGAGATAATCAGGTTTGGTCCAAGGAAAGGAAGGGTAGGTTCAGTATCTTGAATCAAGAGTTTTCAGTGGCACCTAGGCATCCCCTTGAGGGGATTCAACACGTAATCAGTTCACCAAGAGAATATATTCTGGGTGTGCTAGGCAAGCACTGCACACCCACCAAAGATGGTAAATTCATCATAAATATTAAGCTTACTCAATAATATAATCATAACTGGAAACAAATTTGTGTCCCCTGTTATGAAATATTGTGGTAGTTGTTCTAACTAGTACTTATACCATAGCAGGTTCAGCATGGTAGCATAGTGCACACCCTATCACAATAACCACCATACTGCAATTCACCGCACCTGAACAGCAACATCCTGGCAACCACTTTGTTCATTGAGAGCTACATTAAGTATCTTGGCTTTCTTCACATCACTTATTTGTGCCACTTCCTTAAACACTTCCACAACTTCATCAACCATCTGAAATATAAAAAAAGAAAGTATGATAATTGTACTTATGTGCACCTGTGCCTAAATAAACTTACCTACTTACTTAGGGAAGCACTAAACTCACAAGGGTTGTGTAGCACTCATAAGTATTCAAGGAAAGGGAGAGTAGCTTTAATTTTTTGGATCAAGAACCCTTCATCAGCAAAAGGTACATACATGCTCTTGACATACCAGTTAGGAATAAACCGTAGAGCAAAAAAAAGGTAAAATACAGTATAATAATTTTAGAGTAAGTTTATTTAGCCACAGGTACACATAAGTACAATTATCATACATAATGTAAATTACCCAAAAAATCAGACAGTGACTTATTTTCCCTTGGTCTCATTATGGAAGCAGACATTCGATTAATGCATTAAAATTAAATTAAAGGTGAAATTTAAAAAATGTTCTGCGAGCCATGCAAAAAAGGTATAGCAGGTAAACATTTCAACTGTATTGCTGATTTTAATCTTATTATCTGATATACTGCACACAAATAACCCACACATAGGAGAGAGGAGCTTACGACAATATTTCGGTCCGACTTGGACCATTTACAAAGTCACACTAACAAAAAGAAGAGAAGGAGGGAGTATATATAGGCCAGTAGTCAGGGACAGGACAAGAGAGGTAGTAGGAAAGCAGGAAGAGAGCTGGTAGTAGTAGTGGTGGAGTCAGTCAAATACAAAGAAAGAGGAGCACTGCAAGGAAGCTAGGGGGCCCACAAACGGAAGGAACAAGAACACAGAGGGGGGAAAATAATAATAGAAAAAATTTGATTGTAAATAAGTAAGTATATTTAGGTACATTCATTTAGAAAGAATCTGTAGGGAAAGGAAGGTGGGGTAGGGGTCGTCTTCGAAAAGGCTGGAGGGAGGGGGTAAAGGAGGTTTTGTGGGTGAGGGGCTTGGACTTCCAGCAAGTGTGCATGAGCGTGTTAGATAGGAGTGAATGGAGACGAATGGTATTTGGGACCTGACGAGCTGTTGGAGTGTGAGCAGGGTAATATTTGGTGAAGGGATTCAGGGAAACCGGTTATTTTTATACAGCCGGACTCGAGTCCTGGAAATGGGAAGTACAGTGCCTGCACTTTAAAGGAGGGGTTTGGGATATTGGCAGTTTGGAGGGATATGCTGTGTATCTTTATATGTATATGCTTCTAAACTGTTGTATTCTGAGAACCTCTGCAAAAACAGTGATTATGTGAGTGAGGTGAAAGTGTTGAATGATGATGAAAGTATTTTCTTTTTGAGGATTTTCTTTCTTTTTTGGGTCACCCTGCTTTGGTGGGAGATGGCCGACTTATTAAAAAAAAAAAAATTTAGGTACAGGTACACATAAAAGAAAATATCTTTATTTCTACAAGTACATGTACAAGGCTCTTGACTCATATAATGACTCCAATAACATGCTCATTGGAGAAGCCAGGTATAGACACTCAAAAATCAGGGACAAAGGAATTAATGTACAGTTGCTATGGATCCCATCACACATTGGATTACTCCTTCATGATAAAGTTGATATGTTAGCCAAGAAGAGTACCCAAAAGGAGAATGTAGAATATAACTTTGGTATAACTGTGTCTAGCATTAGGAATAATATTAGCACAGAAGTAAATAATGAAAATGATTGTTATAGGAATGCAGTTAGAAGCCTGAGTAGATCTGTAACCCACTATGATAACATGAACGTAGATAAGTATGTTTATGGAGCAACGTGCAATGTGAACAGACTGACTGATGTTGTAGTGGCCAGGCTTAGGCTTGGTTACAAGTACTTCTGGCAGTTTGGGAGACACACAGATGATGATCAAACTAAATGTAAATTATGTGATCAGGCATATGGTCACTTTCTTGAACACTATGTGCTTAATTGTCCACTTACTGAGGAATACAGAGATAGACAGTATAATAACCTATGTGACATGTCAAGATATCTTATTAATGAAAATAAGATACCAGATATACTAAGCAAATTTCCTAAATTTGCTTGTAACAGATAAGTGAACTATAGATATGTAAATATAAATCCGTATGTATTCATGTTAACCTCTTGGGGCCTAGTTCCTGGACCTTTTGTGTATCCATATGCTCTTGCACTACCGTCCACAGGATGGATATGGGGTGCACAATAAACTAGCAACTTTGGTGGCAAAATCTAATCATGTACAAGGTATACAGACCATAGCTGATATCAATGACATACTACTATATAGAAAGTCGCTTGCTCTGCAGACCATTTTGGGCAAATAAGGTCAGTTTCCTCCCAGGATGCGACCCACACCAGCCGACTAACACCCAGGTACCCATTTTATCGATGGGTGAACATGGACAGCAGGTGTATCTTATGGAAACACGTCCTGTTATCCAGCCGTACCGGGGATTCGAACTCTGGACTTCAGTGTGTGAGCGGAGTGTGCTAGTGGACAATTATCATACTAAGGGACAATTATCATACATAGATTAACAATGTAAAGCAAGGCAGAAGGTATCAATGGCAGCCCAAGAGACAGAGTGAGGGCCGCCACCGACCCCAATGCACGTACCTCTGTAATCTTCTTGACTACCAACCACCCCTCAAGGGAGGTTCCTTGACGCTGGTGAGGGGCTCTTGATCTAGGGAATTGGATCTGTGCTCCAGTTCCCTGAATTGAGCCTGAATACCTTCCATCCCTCCCCCCCCATGCGTTGTATTATTATTATTATTATTATAATCAAAAAGAAGCGCTAAGCCACAAGGGCTATACAGCCATGCGTTGTATAATCCTAAGGGTTTAGCACTCCCACATGATACTAATAATAATTGACTACCAACCGCAGGATGGGTATGGGGGCGCATAATAAAGATATTAAACTAAGCTAACCCCAGCACCTGCCTCCCATTTGCGACTGTAATGCATAGTTTAACATATGTAAATTACCTAGGATAACCCAAAAAAGTCAGACAGTAACTTATTTTCACTGGGGTAAATTAATCATATAAGGCTTATTCAGTACATAAATATACAGTATATATGTCAATACAGCCAGAGTAATTTATTACAAAAGTCCAGTACAATGTGGCAGGATGCAAATGATGACTGAACAATTACAATTACACAGAATATAGTACTGTACATCATTTCAATGACTTGAATTTTGTGCTGAATGGACATAACTTTTGTACCACATCTGTAAGAAGTAATTTATGAAACAAATAAATCTACCATGTCAATTGACAATTTTTAAGAATTTTTTTTTTTTGTCCTTAAGAAAATTTATTGATTTTACGAAATGTTTAAAAAAGATGGTATCTTACTGTTATTATTTTAATTGTTTGAGATGCAGTGATGTAAAAAATAACCCAGAGTCAAGTCTTCCTGCTATTATTTTGTAGTTTGAGCTTCAGTGATGTCAAAAATAACCCAGAATTAATTTTTCTGCTATTATTTTGTTGTTTGAGCTTCAATGACGTCCAAAATAACCCAGAGTGAAGTTCTTAACAACTTCACGTAGTTGGGGTGGTGAAGGGTCACTAAATGTTTCACTTGTCATTATATAATCATCAGTTACCTAGTAATTAAGTTTATTCAGGTACAGGGATACATAAATACAGTTACATAAATTATCATACATAGCATCATAGGATAAACCACCAAAAAGTCAAGGTGACTTATTTCCAATGGGGTCTTTGTAATACATTATTTAAACCTTAAAAGTTTAAGCAACTGTACTCACCTCATTGTACTCACCTAATTGTGGTTGCAGGGGTCGATACTCAGCTCCTGGCCCCGCCTCTTCACCGACCGCTACTAGGTCCTCTCTCCCCCTGCTCCATGAGCTTTATCATACCTCGTCTTAAAACTATGTATAGTTCCTGCCTCCACTACATCGCTTGCCAGACTATTCCACTTCCTAACAACTCTATGACTGAAGAAATACTTCCTAACATCCCTTTGACTCATCTGAGCCTTCAGCTTCCAATTGTGACCCCTTGTTTCTGTGTCCCATCTCTGGAACATCCTGTCTCTGTCCACCTTGTCTATTCCACGCAGTATTTTGTATGTCGTTATCATGTCTTCCCTGACCCTCCTGTCCTCCAGTGTTGTCAGACCGATTTCCCTTAACCTTTCTTCATAGAACATTCCCCTTAGCTCTGGAACTAGCCTTGTTGCAAACCTTTGCACTTTTTCTAATTTCTTGACGTGTTTGACCAGGTGTGGGTTCCAAACTGGTGCTGCATACTCCAGCATGGGCCTGATGTACACAGTGTATAAAGTCTTGAACGATTCCTTACTGAGGTACCGGAACGCTATTCTCAGGTTTGCCAGGCGCCCATATGCCGCAGCAGTTATCTGGTTAATGTGTGCTTCTGACGATGTACTCGGGTATTATACTCACTCCTAGGTCTTTCTCCTTGAGTGAGGTTTGCAGCCTTTGGCCACCTAGCCTATACTCTGTCTGCGGTCTTCCTTGCCCTCCTCCGATCTTCATGACTTTGCATTTGGCGGGGTTAAATTCTAGGAGCCAGTTTCTGAACCACACATCCAGCCTGTCCAGGTCTCTTTGTAGACCTGTCTGGTCTGCGTCTGATTTAATTCTCCTCATTAACTTCACGTCATCTGCAAACAGGGACACTTCTGAGTCTATCCCTTCCGTCATGTCGTTCACATATACCAAGAATAGCACTGGTCCCAGGACTGACCCCTGTGGGACCCAGCTCGGCACTGGCGCCCACTGTGATATCTCATCACGGACCATGACTTGCTGTTGCCTCCCTCTTAGGTATTCTCTGATCCATTGCAGTGCCCTTCCTGTTATACATGCCTGTTCCTCTAGCTTCTGTGCTAATCTGTGAGGAACTGTGTCGAAGGCCTTCTTGCAGTCCAAGAAAATGCAATCAACCCACCCCTCCCTCTCATTTCTTACTTCAGTTACCTTGTCATAAAACTCTAGTAGGTTTGTGACACAGGATTTGCCTTCCATGAATCCGTGCTGGCTGTCGTTTATAATCTTGTTCCGCTCCAGGTGCTCCACCACTCTCCTCCTGATAATCTTTTCCAAGACTTTGCATGCTATACATGTCAGTGACAGTTAGTTTAATATGTTTATTATGCACCCCATACCCATCCTGTGGGCTGTAGTCAAAAGATTACAGAGGTACATAATTGGTCCAGGGACTGGACTCCAAAGTTTTGATAGCTGAGCAAGTTACAAAGGTAATGAACTAGATCTGGTCATAATCATGACCAAGTTACAAAGGTAATGAGCTCCAGGTAGAGCTGGTCACACTCATGAATAATTGCAAAGGTAATGAATCATAAACACATTAATCATGAGAATTTACAAAGGTAATGAGCTCCAGGTAGAGCTGGTCAAATCATGACAAGTTCAAAGGTAATGAATGATAAACACGTTATCACATGATTACAATCATAGACAATTACAGAGTAATGAGCAGTTAACAAACATAGCAGGGAATTCATCCATTGCCCCAACAACAGATGTTGCTAGGTGCCTGTCTCTCCTCGGCAGACAGCCATTGCAAACAGCAGCAAGTTGCCCCGAGATCTGCTGCTTGCACGAGCACCATCGACCCTCCCCAAGAGGTCCAAGAAGCCAGTGACTCCGTTAGCAGCCCGATGGAGAGCTGCCCTAGGGACATGTCAGCGTCCTGGTGGACGCCAAGTTGATTGAAGATCCCAGGCCCTCGTGTGCACGGATGTTGAAGCTTGAGGAACTGAGTACACACTGCCTGTGGCACACCTGACAGCTGCCTCGCGGTCGAACTCCACGATGCTGTCCCTGTAGTGGTCTATAATTTAGTGCTTCATTTCTGTCTCCCTTCTTAAAGATGGGGACTACATTTGCCTTCTTCCATACTTCAGGTAGTTGCTCAGTTTCAAGGGAAGTGTTGAAGATTTTGGTTAGTGGCACACGTAGTGTCCCTGCTCCCTCTCTAAGGACCCATGGAGAGATGTCCGGTCCCACCACCTTTGAGGTATCAAGGTCACTTAGGAGCTTCTCCACCTCCTCCTCAGATGTGTGTAATTCATCCAACGCTTGTTGGTATATCCCTTGTTGCTGTACCCCACTGTTTTGTCTTCCCGTTGTCCCTTTAGCCTCCACTGTAAATACTTCCTGAGATCTCATGTTGAGCTCCTCACATACCTTCTGGTCGTTTCTTGTGAGCTCCCCACCTTCTTTCCTCAGCCTGATTACCTGGTCTTTGACTGTTGTCTTCCTCCTGATGTGACTGTAGAGTAGTTTCGGGTCAGACTTGACTTTCGATGCTATGTCATTTTCATACTGCCGCTGCGTAGTATGACGGGGTGTATTAGGGAGATAAGATGTTTTCTAATGGTAGTTTTGAAGGTGATGAATGTGTCTGCAGTTCTAGAGTTTTCAGGTAGGGTGTTCCAGATTTTAGGGCCTTTGACATACATTGAATTTTTGTAAAGGTTTAGTCGGACACGGGGAATGTCATAGAGATGTTTGTGTCTGGTGTTATGCCTGTGGGTTCTGTCGTTTCTGGCTCGTCGACTAATCTCTTTATTCTCCTGAGTCTTTGCCTTCTGTGCTTCTTCCATTCTCTAGAGCACCTAGTTTTTGCCTCCCTGCACCTTCGGGTAAATCAAGGGCTCGTTTTGTCCTTCCCATTATTTCTGTTACCCTTGGGAACAAACCTTTCCTCTGCCTCCTTGCATTTTGTTGTTACGAAGTCCATCATTTCGTTTACTGATTTTCCTACCAACTCCTGTTCCCACTGAACCTCCTGCAGGAAGGTCCTCATTCCTGTGTAGTCCCCCCTTTTATAGTTTAGCTTTTCCCTTTCTACTCCTGTTACCCTCTCCACGATGTATTCAAAGCTCATAACTACGTGGTCACTAGCTCCAAGGGGCCTTTCATATGTGATGTGCTCAATGTCTGAGCTACTCAGGGTGAACACGAGGTCCAGTCTTGCTGGTTCATCCTCCCCTCTCTCTCTGGTGTGAAAATCAGTTATAATACAAGAAGATATACTAGAAATAAGAGAAACTGAGCATTTACATTAATATTAACGAGAGAGAGAGAGAGAGAGAGAGAGAGAGAGAGAGAGAGAGAGAGAAATAGATGGCAAGTAACATTTGCACCTGAGAAAACGCAAATGATGATCGTCTCTAGGCACCATGATGGTAATGCTGGTGCAGTAGTAAGGGTGAATGGGAGGGTGTTGGCACCTGGAGAAGAAGTTGACATCCTTGGGGTGAAATTTGACTCCAAACTAACCATGAAGAACCATGTTGTAAATCTAGCAAACAAGGCAGCCAGGAAGCTTACAGCATTTTGCCGTATCTCGCATCTGCTTGACAGTAGGGGTTGCAAAATTCTGTACGAGGCACAAGTACTCTCACGCCTTGAGTATGCTCCACTTTCTTGGTTTGCCCCCCCCCTCTCATCTGCGACTGCTTGACAGAGTAGAGAACAGAGCAAGACGTCTCATCTCTCGCCTGGACCCATCCTGGACAGATCTGTCATTTCAGCAGAGCCTTCAACACAGGAGGGATGTGGGTGGCCTTACTGTTATGTACAAGGCCAATATTGTCAAAGTACTACACTTGGATCCACTTCGAGGACAGCGTGAAACAAGCTTTTATGCTACAAGACGGGCAGAAAGCAGCAACTTCACTCTGGCTGTACCCTTCTCCAGAACATCACTCCATCTGAGATTATATATACCCAGGATGACTCGAGTATGGAACACATTCGTACAACACAATGATATCAACGAGATAAAGTCAGTTGATCAAATGAAAATGCTGGCCCACAGATGGCTCCAACTTCATCCTGTTCCCTACTTGTATGTCTCATAACAATAAAAATGCTTTCAAATGAGCTGATGTAGGTAACAGCTCTTAGCTTGCCAATAAGTTAGGAATCCTTAACCCGTAAATAGCTTGTCAATAAAGCTAGGGATCCTTACCCTTGTCAAACCCAATGTAAAAAAAGAAAAGAGAGAGAGAGAGAGAGAGAGAGAGAGAGAGAACGAATGAGGGGGGGAATCAGCTTACAATAAATCAAGTTTACAAGAAAACACTTCCCTATTTCTGTAGCTACATTAAAGATTAAAGACTGAATATTCTTTATTTAGCATGATGTAATGTTTGTACACAAATGGGTGACATGAGTGCATGCAGAAAGCTCCTAAGTATGCAGAGCATTTCGGGCAAACTTATGCCTATACTTAGACTAATAAGACAAAATTAATTGATTGCTTATATATACGGTCTCAGGTGGTTTTAATAATAAAAAAACACTTTTATCGAGTGTAATTGTTTTAAGGATTCCGCACAAAATGCGTTTTTCGCGCTATTGTGAGATAAGATTTCGTTCGGATTTTTAACCCCGGAGGGTTAGCCACCCAGGATAACCCAAGAAAGTCAGTGCGTCATCGAGGACTGTCTAACTTATTTTCATTGGGGTCCTTAATCTTGTTCCCCAGGATGCGACCCACACCAGTCGACTAACACCCAGGTACCTATTTGCTGCTA